AGTGTGAATCCAACGTCGCGATGGGCCGCGTACGGTTTATCCCCGAACTTGAATACCGAGGTATTCTTGGATGGGGATTCACTCTGTAGTGTATCGGGAACCGCTCGTTTCTCATCCTGATGTAAACGACGCCAGACGCGATTAAGGAAGGACAAACCTGAGGCAGGTCCTAAATAGTTGCCTTCCAGATCGGTCACGGCGGGATCCGGTGAGTTGCGCTGGGAGATGTTATTGTTGTTATTGTGGCGGCGGTTGCGATCATACAGATCTTGCTGAGAGGCTGATCCAATGCGTGGCGACGAGCGTGCGATTGAGAGTGAGCGCCGGGTTCTCGGGCCGTGGACCGCATGAGTGCCCCCGAGCTGTTCACCAGATGAGGCGGGCAGGGGCTCGGGAGGAAGCCCCCGTGAGTAGGCGGCATTGTATTCACAAACCAGCGACAGCCGGGTACACCTTACGCAGGGAATGGTTCCCGTACAACGAGTCTTCTTTTCCTTGCAATGATCGCAGGCTCGGGTAATCTTCTGCCGGGGAGTATTGGATTTGTGTATAGATGAGGAGGACTCGGAGGATCTTCTCGGTCGTTTTGCAGGAAGTAGATCTCGGCCATTGGCACTAGATCTAGAACGAGATCGAGACCGAGCCAGAGCCCGACGGTGATTGTCATGGACGACTCTTACTGGCACTGGGTCCACCGGTGATGACAAACCGTCCACCGTAGCGACGACAGTGGCAGCCATATGAACATATCCCGGATTTTGGGGTTGATGGCTGGGTGGGATGTCATGAGAGAGGTCGTACCAGAGAAAGGAGAAGAAGAATACGTAGTAGGTAGTAAAGCTAGTGGAAGGGAGAAATTTCCGGAGGCGGGGGAACAAGACGAGCGGGGAAACACTGAGGCTAATCCGGAAGTAGTATTGTTTTGCAGTTGTCAACCACCGGATATTCCATTTCCCAAAGGCGGGGGAGGCGAGAAGAACTGGAGAGTTTAACTGGAACTTCGGATAGCAAAACTGCGGGGGTGGGAATTGACCTGTCTGTCAGTCTGTCAGTCTGTCAGTCTGTCAGTCGGTAGAATCTGGGACATCTCCGCGGACATGCTGCAATCGAAATATCCACCTATGTATTCGCCTCGTACAGTACAATACAGTATACAGTACGTACAGTGCATCAGACATCAGAGACACTCAGGTAAGGACTTGGGTACAAATGCAGATGCAGATGCAGATGCAAATGAATCATTTCGTTCAGTCTGTGCCAATGTAACTTGGAAGTCACCTATCATGATGAGTCAGCAGCATAAAGCAACTCGGAATAAATAACTACTACTCAGGAGCTTAAATCTCGATTAGCAGCAGCGGTACGGGCTAGAGGGTTGCAAGCAAGCGTACTAAGAATCTTAGACCAAATCAGCGATTTGATGTAGTTGGGAGGGCCCTGGACTAAGATAGATCTACATGTACTGGACTGTACAGTACAGTCTATCTGCATACCATGAAGCACGCGTCACGTCCACTGATCTTTCCCGATAATCCGAAGACCCTGCAGAGAATACAAAGAAACTACCCACATAGGACTAGAGCATGAGAAAAGAGACCAGAAAAGCATACACGACCGCCCAGTGCGAATAAGGTAGATTCCATTCTAGTGAAGGAACGCAATACAGTTGCAACGTCACGGGTTATCCGCGCAAAAGGACTGATTGGACATTGGCTCGAAACGCCCAGTGCTGGTGGCGACCAACATAAGAACCTCAAATCCCGCTGCAAATACATGCCACATGCTTGCTATGTTCAAGGCAACTTCCCTCGGAGCAGGTATCCTCCCATTCTGCTCAGCTCTTCCAACCCGGTTGTATCAGAATTGTCTGTTCCCTCAGTCGCCACAACGAACAAGACCAGCCACGAGAAAAGTTCATTCCGATGCCTCCATCTTTACCTGTTCGACGCAGGCCCGAACATAGTGCGTATCTATCGCACAAGGGCACCGGAGTGCAAGCCATGTGCGATGGGCCGTGGTCGGGGTGTGAAGATCAAAAATGCAGGCCGGCCGTCATCATCAATGTCAAGAACTGTTGCTGCGTGAAGCGAGCGGGCTACCTAGCGAGCTTAGGCTAACCCTAAAGGCTTCGTTCGTTCATCGACGGGGCTCTCGGGAGAGTCGATGTCGGACTCTTCATCTGACTCGTCGCTTTCGAGCTCGTATAACACCTCATCCTCATCCTCAGGTACAGAGAGCGTCACATACTCGCTAAGGAGATCTTGAAGCTCGAGGAGTCCGGCGGGGTGCCTCATCCTAGACAGGACTTCCTGGGCGATCTCCCCGTTTCCCATGCGCATGATCTTTAATAGGCCACCTATCAGGCTCTGGTAGACTCTCAGGAGTTCCTCGGTGCGCTTCTGTTCGGCCTTGCGGCGCTTGTCCTTGGACTCATCGATCTGGCATGCACGACCGTGAACACGGCACTGGGTGCAGGGTATTCCTGTATCTTTGATGGTGCACTGTAACGAGGATTCTCAGGTCAGACTAATGCAGTTGCGAGGTCAAGTCGGGCTGGAGACCAGAACTTTCGTCCAGGGAGCGAAAACAGGAATACTCTTCAAAATAAAATCGGTACCTTACCCTTGTTCGCAGCCGCTGACACTCATAGCACGCGGTGGACGCTCGCCGTGTCTTTCCACTCTCGGGAGCCGGGGCCGGGGGGTCTCGAGCCTCATCTTCCTTGGCTGCCTTGGGCGCGATAGGACGATAGGACGTGACACCGTGTTCGGACATGCTTCAACCCGGACGTGTAAAATGACGGAAATGGGGGTAAAGCAAACAACGGTGGATCGGACTCGATGCGAAAACGGGAAAGGTGAAAGAGGATGGGACAAACACACTAGGGTGAATCGTGGAAAAGAAAAGAAGACCAACCGATCATGCTCCTCCTGGGGAGGCACATCTATGACACTATAGAGGAAAGGATCATGCTCGATCGAGACGACCTAAGACCTCTCAATGCAGCAACCTGCTGCCCTGCTGCACTTGACGAAGAAGCTAGAGAAAGAACGAGGATGGGTGTGTGGGTGAGGTCGACTCAGCCAAGCCAGCATCGGGAGAAAAGGAAACACACAGAAATGCAGTGTCAGACGCCAAAAGCCCCTCCCGAAGACCTATTGGGAGGGGGGGAATCAGGAGTGCACCGAAAGTCAAACTTGACCAAGACGGGTCAGGCAGCCAAACTCGAAATCGTCAGTCCCTGAAGGCGGCATTTAGGATATCTACGCATCATCCGGGTCTAATCCCTCCTTTTCCAACACAACTCGAAAGAGCATTGGGAACTTGGGAGCCACAGAAGCGTTCAGATACCTGGACTGGTTCTGTGGCAGCTGCGGCCTCCAAGTTGGGCCTCTGATGGGGCAGAGCAAGGAAAGGTAAGAGTGGGAGGCAGGGGGGGGTGGCTGAGGAGGGGCCGCACTGGATCGCTTGTTATGAACGAACCGGTGTGAGCCATCGATGGTCTCCTCTCCTTCTTCTCTGACACTTCCCAGGTACCAAAGGGTCCTTGTCAAGGGACAACTACCGGCAGGAAGGGGATTGGGCTTAAAGTCAAGATGTGGGAATCCAGTGGGCAAGTGGCAGTTGCAACTTCGGTAGTTGTAACTTGGGTTTGACGTGCAGATGACGAGCCCACGACGACGGTGTGGACAAACAAGGCTCTGTCGGCCATGGGGGTGGGGGAGGGAGGACGGCGATTAGCAATAACCTCACCGAGGAGAAACAAACTGCGTACGCCATCTCAGTCAGTCCTGAGTCAGTTCCTCGACTCGAAGGCCAGGCTCTGGTTCGATTGCGATTGGGCCCGTAACATTGCAGGTCCACCGCACTATCACCAGAATTCTCGGCCGCGGGAGCGGATCTCTTCTGGTCTCGTTGCACTTGAAGGGATCACTCGCTTGCTGGAAGTGAAGTGCAGAACGTACCGAACCATACTAGATTTGCGTTATTGTCGTAACGACAGACATGCATGACGTCGCTTGTCTGCTTCACCGACCGAGCTGATTGCACGGATCTTGTGTTCGGGCAGAAGCAGCCAATGCTAAATGAGTGAGGGAGAGGGCTACTCGTCAAAACCACGGGCTGTGACGCCGTGATGCTGTGACGCTGTTAGCGAATTCGGGTGCAGGAATGCCACGGAAAAAGTATCCTTGGGATTTCCTTGGACCGCAGCAACGGATAGAGACTGCGAGGGGGGCGGATGGAACCAACCCCTGTGGCCGAGTCGAACTGTAGAAGTAGGTATGTTCAACTGCTGGGGCCGACTCTGATCCAGGCTAGTGCCACCACAGAGGTCTGTCTGTCTCAGCTGGAGGGCTGCCCTGTAGTACGTACTGTACTCCGGCAGTTGTCTGTAGTTCCCCAGCGGCTCCAAGTCACACCTTCGGCCCGCATGGCATACGATCCGAGAACCACTAACTCGGAGTCGGCCCGACCAAAAAAAGAGGTTGAGTGACTGGAATGGGAGAGTTTTCAGAATCTTTGGTTTGGGGGAGGGAGACGCAGAGCTGGAGGGAGTAAGTAAGTTGACGACTCGATTGAACCTGATTGAGTACTGTAGTCCGCAGTAGTCCGTAGTAGTCTGTACTAGTCCGTAGTGGCAACGGCCCATGTGGATGGGATCCGCTAGACCCGGCATAGCATAGCTCAGTCAACACCCGGCAATTTCTACGCTGATCTATCCGTACCTACTAGTCGAGGTAGTGCACTCTCATCTACAGTAAACATAACACACAACACACCCATGAAGGAGAAAAGAGAATGATCCTGGATAATACGATAATACGACAATACGATAATACAATCAACCGGGGGAATCACGGAACGTTGACCAGCTAACCGAATAAAGATAAGAAGTGTCAAAATATGCAGGAAGTGAACCGCGCACGTCAAGAAGAAGGAAAAAATCTCATAGTGTTTCCAACTTCCTTTGGACGTCAGTCATGTAAGAAAAGACAGTCTCAGTAGATGGGCCGACCTTCATCCCATTTTCGAGGGACCGGGGTAGCATCCTGACTCGCGGCCAAGAGACGACCGTCCTCGGGCGATGAAGGCGCGAAATGCACCTGGTGCACATCCCGGCCAGTGCTGTTGCCGCTACTCTCAATCTCGTTGCGGACGCTGCCAATCCCCCCAATCCACTCCCACACACGCGCAACATCTCCACCGCGACCCTCCCGCACCGCAGCTCGGACGTTGGCGTTGCCCTCAACGATACTGCGCACGCGCTTCCAGAGCCCCTCGCGCCGACTTCCGCGCAGCTCAGACCGGAGCACATCATCACGCAACTGTCCAATGGGGATGTAGGGCTCTCGGGCCGCACCGCGAGCATGTAGAGCCGCCTGTGTCGCGAGACGATCGAGCGTAGTGGCCACAAGTTCAGGGACTCGGGCCATATCCGAGCGGCGAGCCCGGATTTTGGAGCGGACATACAGTGTCAAGCATACCGCGAGAGTCAGAACTGAAATAGGAAGTCGATACGCGAGGAGAGAGAGTCGGAGGTAGCGGCGGAACGCGCAGGTGAGGGGGAGCCGGCTGACGGAGGTGGACGTGAGGGTGAGGACAGAAGATGGTCTGTAATTGTGTGGGTGCCTCTGTTAGTTCCACAATACGAGTCAGAATCCGAATCCTTGGGTGGTGTGCCAGACGGAAGACCAGGGTGTCGCGACCAGGCTAGAATCAGAAAGAAAAGGCTAGGAACTACTCACTGTTGGACTCGAGTGACAACTTCTTCTTTGCCCACCACCTCACCTAGGGCTCCCTTCCACAAGTCATCAAACTCCGCGTCACTCATCCCCTTACGGCGTTTCTTTCCAACCTCTTGCTTCAGCTCGGTTTCACTGATTTCGGGACCCTTTTCTCCTTGGTCACCGTGCACAATCTCACCACACTCCCACTTAGCCCGACGGTCACGGAGAGTTTCGAGGGCTCTATCGGCAACGGCTTTGACTCGGCGTGCCTTCTCACTGTCGGCTTCGCACGTCGGGGCAAGAGGTACCAGCCCACCCAGCGACAGAGGATGTGCCTTGAGGATAAAGTCATGCTCACAGCGAGCCTCAAAATTGGGGTAACAGAAAGCGTGGGGAGGACACGGTTCGCACTGCGGTTCGAGAACATTGGCCCATTCAGGAACCCGGGTATCTGCCAATGACCAGGTTGGCTTGCCAATACCGCAGAATCCAATCTCAACCTTCTCCTTGCGCCACCAAGCACCAAAACCGGCGACAAGGGCTAATATAATGATCCAAGGCGCAGCACGATTTGCTGTCCGCGCTGTTTGGGGCCGGGTGCTAGGGGCGCTAGGCGGATACATCAGGTGCGCCCGGTCCTCCTCAAGCGCCAACTGCTCCTCGGGCGTAAATTCTTCCCCAGCACTGACCTCGCTGTCGCTATCCTCGTAGTTCTCCACCGCCTCCAGGGATTGCTGAGGGGATCTAGGCTTGGGCACGGGGAACTCAAACGAAGATCGCTTCGACGGGGTAAAGCCATAGTCAGAGTTCATGTCCACCGGCGTCATGGACCTCCTAGGCCGTAGACCCATGCTGGCAGCAGGGGAGTTCAGTGAGAATCGCGAGGCGCTCTTCCGCCCAACACTCGAGGTTCTCGGACTCCGGTGCTCCCACCGGGCAGGCGATCCACTCTGGAATGGGTTGTCATCGGTGAAGACACTCTCATCCTTGGGTTCCAACTTAATTGCTGAGAAGGGTGTCTTCGGTTCAGGCTCGCGTTCGGGTTGTGGTGCGGCGGCAGGAGTCATCTCACTCTTGCGTGGTTTGCGGGTCGTCGACTTTCGGGGAGTAGCCGTGCTGAACGGGACCGGGGTTGCCGCCATGTCGTCGTGCGATTCCGTATCGGAGGCGCGATAGCGTTTGCTGGTCGACCGGGGGACCGTTCTTCGAGAGCTCGTGGATGGGGTGGCTGATACATGGGCATCCTCCGTGTCAACCGTCGATGCTCTCGTGCTCAATTTAGTGCGTGCGCGGCGACCGCCCGTCGCGGTCGAAACAGTCGAGGGAGTAGGTGGGGGAGGCATCGACTCTCTGCCAGATTCATAGTGTTGATCGTTGTAATCGCTCACAACTGATGAGGCGCGACTACCCATATCCGTAATTCCTTCACTGGTTCTCCTCACCCTTTCCCGTTCGCGCAAAAGTTTCTTGGCCTGAGGCAAAACCTCTGTCTCAAGAATGCTGATGAGTTGGGCCTTCTTGGCTGAGGCTGGATAGGGAACATCGTGGCTAACGAGGATGGACCGAAGACGGGGAACGGTGAGCGAATTCAGGTCAAAGTCGGCAGCCAAATAATCCAAACCGTCCGCCATGATGAAGAGTGATTGATCCTAGCAGTGATCAACGCCACCAGGGGAGGGGTAGGGAAGGGGGAATGAAGTTGGAAGATGATGATGATGATGTTGCGGCAGAAAAAAAATCCGGGGGGGGGGGTAAAATTTAGAAAGGAAGAGGACTAAGACTAAGGTGGCCAGCCGGTTGGCGGTCGACACTGCAGTGATGGATGAATGGATGAATTCCACTCAAGCGAAAATCCGGATTTTCGGTGATTCTCCCTTTCGTCAGAGACGCAAGACGCAACAAGCAACAAGCAACAGCCGCCGTCCCTCAAATCCGATCGTCTCCAGGGCAACAACAGACTTCGGCCTGCAAGCGAAACAGCCAAACAAGAAAAAGCCAACTGGCCAGTTGAGCAGGTGTCAAACAAGACAGTTCGGTCGGATTGAGGCACCCACACTCAAACTCGGATTCAGAATCGTCGTAGATGAAGGATTTGCAGGCATCAGAGTTATTGATGCAACAAGGGCATGTTTTTGAGGAGGCGAAGCAGGGGTTGATGATGGTTGATTGAAGTTATTTGTTGTGTGTTTGGGTCATGTGACATAGTTGCTACACTATCACAGCTGAGTAATACAATAGGTTGACTTAAATATATTAGTTAGGCATGGCAGTTTAACAAACATGACACTGGACTAGATAGGCCATCATGTTCAGATAATTGGATTCCATTGAGTACACAATTACCAAGTGAATCTAGACACGTAGGGTAAAACAAAGTTGCCACCTTTGGCTCCTAAACCCATGCTTCGGAATCCTTTCACACCCTGCCCTTCCTCGAGACGCCCGCGTAAATGTGTAGCAGAAGGTTGATGGGGAAATAATGAAGAAAAAAACAACAATGATAAATGGCAATAAATACAGGTATGATCGATTAGGAAGAACCCCTCGTTACTATATTCATCGGGATTGGGAAGTAAAGGCGAGGTCCGCCAGGGTTCATCTCGCCAGACAAACAGACTCCTTAAGTGAAGAGAACGGTCGAGTAGTAATGGGGTGGGTTTTACCGCGACTCCGATGCAATTAAAATTCACCTGTAGCTTGGTGTAGTGCCAGCACTGACAGCTACTTGTTCCTTGAGAACACGGTACTCTTCAAGCCGGTTTTGCAATTCTTGCATTACTTCAGAGATCGGGGCGGCATGGTCATTGAGTTGATCACCGGGTTTAAATGGTCGCAGCATGTGCCGGACGGAAAGAGTGTTGATGCAAACCTGGTCCACGATTAGTACATATTGTTGAATGATGCCATTCATTACTCACCTCGATGCGCGTCACCTGTTGTTCCACCAGGCTGACCACAGTCGAATCTGCAAGTTCGCCGCCATGGTTCTTCACAACGTTGAACAAGGCCACGTTTGGTTCCTTGAGGCGGGCTTCGCCAGGATACTCCAAGGCGCCACAAAGCCTCTCGAGTCGCAGAGTAAGTTCCCACAACCGCCAAATCAAGTCGGTCTGGATCTCGAGCTGCGAGTGCTTGCTAATGGTGGTTGGGGCATGCTCATTTGATGCGTCCTTCTCCAGGGTTGTCAGTCTCCCAGAAAGAGAATGAGGGTAGATCAGATAGAGTGGTTCCGGATTTTCAAGCCCCTTCAGCTTTCGCTCCCCCTGATCCTTGATCACAAAACCTTGACTATTGAGTTGCTGAAGCTCGCGTCGGATATTATACCCAAGATTGTCAATCGCATAGCTCTCTTCGGAGCCAGTCGAGGCAGCGCGTTCGCTATCAGCAAACACCTCCAGGTTGCGTTGGATGTCGCTCATAAAATCTGAAGACACGAAGATTTGGCCACCATCGGCGACGGCAGAGATACGAGAAGCGCGGTTGACCATTGGTCCGAAATAATCCATACGATTGGTCACTGGGTCCTTTTCGCAGACAGGCTCACCCCAATGTATTCCCATTCGGACAGACAGACCTCGGAAGATGACATTGTTCTCCATGTCGTACTGCACCTGGCACTGTGGTTGCTCCAGAATTTCTGTCGGCCATTCTGCTTCCAGAAGCTGTGTCTGGCAGTTGAAGCACCAAAGCAAAGCGGCCGTGGTTGTGGAGAACGCAACCATGAAAGCGTCACCTTCCGTTTTCACCTCATAGCCACCGATTATACCCAGCTGGCGACGAAGAATGTCGTTATGAATTTGAATAGCCGAGCGCATCGCATCTGGGCAGGTTTCCCAAAGGCTTGTTGACTTCTTGATATCAGTAAAGATGATAGCGAGTTCTCCAACAGGGGCGTCCACATAATCGAAACGGGCGAGCCTGGAGTCGCCCGGTGTATCACGCGGCTTTTTGGTACGCTTCGTGCTCGGGATGATCTGATCCTCGGGTGGTCCAACCATAGAAAGACTCGGCCTTAACCTTATCTTCTCTCGCTTCTTCAAGTCACTCACACCCAGTATCATGACCATGAGTTTGTTGTTGGCGCCGAATGAGATGGCCAGGTCTCTGATCTTCTGAGCAGCAATCATAAGATCTCTCCGTTCAGCTCTAGCAACGTCGACAACAAGATCCGGCGTCACATAATCCCACAGCTCCCTTGACGCCACAATAATCATCTCATCCTGTTCCGTAAGGTTAAGATGCATGGTGTGGGGTGCCGCAATCACGGCGGGCATCATCTGGAAATGTCCAAACGACCTTGATACTGTAAGGGTATCGTTTAATTTGCCATTGCGAGAGACAAATCCGCCTGCAGCGCGGATCCTTGCTCTTTCGTGTGATTCTGCAGGGTCATGGTTTCGGGTCAAGTGCTTCAGTGAACCATCGGATTTGACAAGTATAGCCTGCGCATCACCAACATTGGCAACAAACAGATCCATGTTGTTCAAGTATATCACGGTGGCGACTCCACCTGAATGAACATCCTCCTTGTTCAACCGCACTTTCTTCGATTCCGCGGGATCTTCCTGATAATGACGCACATCTTGATCAATCGACTTGTAGCACGCGAACGCCATGTTCTTATTCAAGGTCAGGAATGCTCGTCTGAGTGCATCTAGCGGAGTCTCCAGGTCTTCGGTCCGAATCCGCTTAAGCTCGGATGAGAAAGTGTGTATGAAGTTCTCGTGCAAGAATTTGGCAATTCTAGATCCTCCCGTTGACTGGGATTGACCGTCAAACATTCCTACCACTGTCTCCACTTTGTCGGGCTTGAGTCGAGGAACGATCATATCGAAGATGGAAAGATGTTCGCTTTTGCCAAGAAAATCGGCCATGCCATATGCAAGAGACCCAGCTAGGGAAGCGGAAGTCCTGACACGACGATCTTCTGTCTCTTCGGGTATCGTAGAAATTGTGAGAGTGACGTCCATCAAGCCGAGAACGCGCAGATGCGTCAGGGAATTGAAGTCGGTCAAATCTGTCCCAGGTGTGGTGGGCGTCCCCAGTGACGACGCATGAGGCTTGATTTCCAGCCGCTTGTTACCAGAAAAATTGAGGTACTTCAAATTGCGATTCCAGTTCCAGTTCCAGTCGTAAGGCCAGTTGGAGACGTTGTACTTGAGAGAATTGCTCCCAACATCCAGAATTGCGAGCTTGCTGACTTTGCAGAGTTCGGCTGGAAGCACCTGGAAACGGTTCGCATTGATATGCAGTACCTTCAGGTTGCTGCCTTCTTCGAGATCATCGGACGGAAGGGACGTGAGCTCGTTACCCGAGAGGTACAACTCAGTCAACAATGGCCAACGTCTCAACAGGCCCTGGGGAAGCTCCGTTAACTCGTTGTATGAAAGGTTAACAACACGCAACTCCGGGATCAGCGACAGCTCTCGGAAAATATCGTCCTCCAGTCGATTATCTGCCAGGTGGAGATTCCTTAGTGATCCTCCGAATGTCGTCGCAACATGTTGTGAGAAGTTGGAGTCTTTGCGCGACGAGGGGCTTCCATCGGTGAGCGAGCGAGAAGCCGCAGATACTTTCCGCCCCCCTTGGCCTAGAGATGAGGCAATAGAGGGCTTTCGATAAGCTGTCCCGTTGGGTGAGCCTCCGGTGCTGAGTGCACCAGCTCCTGATGCTTGGCTAGGTCGGCGTGCCTCCTGTTCATCAACGGCACCTAGTTCTTCGTAGTTGGTATTATTCGACAACCCTGGGGTCACTGCAGGAGCCATAGATGCGTCAACTGGGAGCTGGGGCTGAGGACTACCATGCTTTGGGAACGCCTCCAGCACATTTGAAGAGACATTCAGAGTTTCCAACTTAAGGCAGTGCCAGATCTCTGGTGGAAGTCGCCTAAGATTGCATTCCCGCAGGTTGAGGTATTTAAGCTCTGTCAAGCAGCCAATAGTGGCGGGCAGCGAAGCCAGGGGATTCTTAATCATGCTGAAATGTTCAAGTCTACGCAATTTGCCGATGTGTGGCGACATTGAGACAAGATGATTCTTGTCAAGGATGAGCTTCTGCAGGTTCGGCAGGTTTTCAAAGAGCGCATCGCGGAACTGAACCAGCTTGGCAGAAGCTATGTTCAGAGATGTCAACGTTGGGACAGGTCCATCAATGTCGAACTGTGTCATGGGGCAGTGGTCGAGGATCAAAGTCCGCAATCTTGGGAATGATCCTTTGAACTTCGAGATAGCATTGTGACCAATGACCAATTGCTCCAGTCGCGGGAGGAGAGACAGGCAGTCTATATTGGTAATCTCATTGAATCTCGCGTCGATTTCCTTCAGGCTGTCGGGGCCTCGGAATACCTCATCGAGTGAACCTCTGACGATGTTATTTGTCATCCAAATTCGCTCGAGTGTCGCCAACCTCCCCAAATTGGGTAACTGAGAAATGTTGTTGAAACTGATGTCCAAGTCCACGAGGCTCTTGAGTTCACAGAGCAGTTCCGGGAACACCTGGAAATTGTTTGAGGATATATTCAAGCTCCGCAGATATTGAAAATTGCCAAAGTACGCAGGAAGTTCCGTGAGTCTGTTGTTGGCCATTTTGATGCTGACAAGGCCGTGCAACCTATCCAGGTTGGCATGGCTTAGATCTTCGATACGATTGTTTGAGATGTCAAGATATGTCAGGCGACTAGCAAGGCCGAAACTGGCAGGCAAACGAAGAGCATCGTTGCCGATGAATTTTATCTCTCGTAGGTTGATGCATCCCTGGATGAAATCCTTGGGCACATCCAAGGACAGGTTCTTTGATAGGTTCAAAGATATGATCTCGGGTGCCTTTTTGTAAAGAGTGATCGGAATGGTGACCAAGCTCCGATTCGAGAGGTCCACGTGGCTGAATTTTTGGTTCTTATTGAGGACAGGCTCGCTCTCAAGACTGCTGTAACCACTGATGCGGGCTGGGAGAAAGGTGAAACGAAGGATATAACTATGATCTTCGCGGCCAATCTCTTCGATCTTATCCTTCTCGGTGTAACCTACCTGTTCCAGCATGCGCTTCTGCATGAGAATGGGCATCTCACTCGGGCCGAGCTGTCTGGAAAGATCATTCTTTCGCATCACTAACTCATAATTATTCAGATGATCAGTCAGAAATGATTTTCGTCCGAGTAGAAGGAGAACGTCGGCAACAGTCGCATATAGACCAGCTGAGAGGGTGGCGAAGGTCGAGTCAGCGCGAAATACTCGTATGAAATAGCCCACACCGTCGGGTTCGGATATTGTGGGACCAGGCTGCTCAACGCCTTCGTCTGGCAGTAAGGATGATATATCATCCTTCTGCTTCTTGACGTGCCAACTCTCCGGCGCATCCCAGTTTCCGGCAGGCAGGTTATCTCGATTTGTCCGGTCTTCTACCTGCGCAAAAGCTCCATCTGGTATCCGACCCCGGTCACCTGGAGAGGGTGGATTCACGATGCCCTCCATATGCGAGAGATCCGTATCGAGAGCCCACATGTTGGAGTCGTCTGAAAATCTGGAATCTCTGCCGACCGGATACTCATTGCCCGCACCTCGCCGCCCACGAAGCTTGGAGGTGCCGATGGCCAATCCTTTACCGTCCTTCTTTCGATCGCTTTCTCCATCGTTGTACCTGGAAGATGTCGCGCTCTCAATACTTCCCTGTCTGCCTCGCCTAGCGGGCGAGGCTTCTCTTCGCGTCAATTTTGCTGCGGCAGCTTTCGTGGTATCCTGCACTCCTTTCGCTGTCGCAATATTTTTCAGGTGGCCATGCTTTGGGCGACGTATTTTATCGAGGAAAGAACGCTTCCCCGGCTGAGCACCCGGGGAGTTCTGACCCTGACCCTTTACGTGGGCGCTCTGGACGCTGGGTGTGGGACTAGTGGCACGCCCAAGAGTTGTGGTCGATGTCATTGGGGTGGGGTAATTGAGACTACCCTCCCTAGATGGATGAAGTCCAAGCGAAAGATCATCTCGGCCGGTTGCCGGGCGAGCTGGGTAGCCGGCAAGGTCACCGGCCGCGGTTGGCTTTTCTTCTTTGCTCCGAGAGTGGCGGTGGCCGCTGAAATGTCTCCGATTCGGATCTTTTTGGGCTGCTGCAGCACGTTGCCCTTCGGCTGTGGGCGCTTGGCGGACAGGGGCCTCTCCAAACTGAGGTATATCCTATAGTGTCTCCGCGTCAGCACGACTCATGGTGATCACCAATTCAAAAATTGACATTATTGAACGTTGTCGTGGACATGGACTCACGTTGTAGTTTTGGTACATCCAGGGGGTGATCTCGCTGGAAGGAAGAGGAGTTCGTGGTCTTGTGTGGTTTTGCGGGGTTCTTTCGTGAGAGGTGTCCGTCGTGTTGCGTGATCCGTCTGAATTCGCCCGTTCTCGAGCTCTGAAGTAATCGATCGAAGACGGCTTCGACACCGAAGCCTGAGTGTTGTTATCTGAGTCGTGCTTCGGGTCTCCATTGCCTTGGTATTCATCGCCGAAGAAGCCTTGCAGCTTCTTTCTGAAGAGCGCACCAGTACTAGATTTGGATCCTTGGCTACTAGCGGTCATGGCACTAGCTACCGACGGTCTCCGGTGGTCAACATTGAAATCCAAATCGAGCGGTTCACTTGTGTATGTCTGGGCGGTTCCAGGGCGAAATGTGGCGGAGGCTGGGGAGGCTTCTTGTTCCGAGAAGTCATGAAAGAAGGTATTAGAGGCATCAGCCGCCAGCATCTTAGGCGATGATGATTGTGAGGGAGAGAGCTCCGGCTGGGAGGTGTCGGTGGGGCCGATGCTCAAATTAGACGGCCGTCCGCGGGGATTAGATGCGGAAGAATGATTTCGCTCATCGGTGCCCAGCATGTTCATTGCCTTTCTGTGACTACCGAATTGTGGCGGCTTGCGCTGATCTGTCGGAGACACATCCGGGGAAGCCCAGGAGAATATGGAATTGTATAAATCGGCAGGAACCCCTAGGGGTGGTGATTTGCGGCCCTGTGAGTTGGATCTGGGAAGCATCAGTATCTGGTAGAACAGTTGCGCATCGTTTGATCTCATAGTTGGATTTTCGTGAAGATGCAGTGCCCATGATACCCACCCCTGTGAGCGGCATCGTCGGAGGAAGATCCAAGCCACCGAATCAGCCTGAAGAAGGGTATGAGATGAGCCACATGAGCTACATCGACAGACTTCTTCTCTCGGATGATTCGTCGAGTGTCTATCCAGACCAACCATGAAATGTGGGAGGGGATATAGGGTACAGGTCTTCCTACCTTAACAACTCTCGACCTCCAGAGAGCGGGGAAACACTGCGCCCATGGGAATAGCCATGATTATGCTGCTGGCGCTCGTTTCGACCCTCTCTGACAGTCTCCTGCGACAACCAGCTATGTGCACCCGAGCTTTCCGAGCTGCGTCGGCCTTCCGACCGATCGCCAGCCCGATATGCCATGCTTCCCAAGTGAGTTTTTGACAGTTTCCGAGGGGTCGAGGAGGGGTGCGGCGAGTGGGCGGTCGGCTGTCAGGAACGGCGATCACGGGGAGGAGGATTAGGGGGAGGAGAGCAATAGCATTAATGGATTTTTAATATAGCCCTGAAGCGCAGGTAGGTGTAATAAATTGGTCGGGGTGCCGTGCGATTATACGCCGCTTGATCCGGTGGAAAGAGTGCAGGCGGAGAAAAGCTGGTGGGAGAACGAGGTACGGTGGGAGAGTGCAAGGTTGGTCGATTGGTGGGTGTTTGAAGGAGAAACTGTATGAAGTCTAGGCAAGCGCCTCAGTCGCCATCGGCGACTGCTGGTATATGCTGTTGAAGATGGAGATTACGGTGGAAGAGGTGTTCTTTCGTAGCACGGGGGTTTAGCGTCGGGCGCGACGGTGACAAGGCATGCTTCATGTTCTAGAGGGTGAGCGGCAGTGGTGAGTGAGGAAACGTCATGACATAGTCCAGACAAGGATATTCTGGTACATGGGAGGGTTTTGGGATTGATAGGAAGAAGGGAACGAGGTGCAGGTAATGGATAGAATAGAAGGGGGTCCAGAAGTCGTGATAGACTCAGACTGGGGGTGGTGGTGGTGAGTGGGTGGGCGGAGGAAGAGAAAGTGGTACAGTACAGGGTGGTAGTGGTAGTTAGTGGTAGTGGTAGTGGGTGACGGATTGTCCGGTCGGCGGGTGTGAGTGAACCTGCGCAGAGTTAGTTAGTTGAGGCTCTGACTACTACCGCCAACCCGCTAAACCAGACCGAGTAGCTCTTCGTTAGGTATGGCCGAGCTGGGCTGTTGAAGGGAGGGAGGGAGGGGGGAAAGGAAAGGTGGGACCTTCCCGCCTACTAAATTGACTTATTGAACAGTGAACAGCAACTCCGAACACTACTCCGTATTGAGTGTATTGAGTACTGTACCTATACATGCAGTACGAACTTTACATACCCGAACCTTCCCAATACTAACTTAAGTACCAGACAAGGATCTGGAAAATCTGATCGTTGGTAATGATGTCAAGATACGACTGATTTTCCGAACTCTCTCACCTTTCATATGGAATAAGGTTAATGCACTTATTTCTCTTCCGAGTGCGCAGAATGGATCGATTATCTAAGGTGAAATAAGTTAGTTACGAACTTACTTTAACAACCCGACCAGACCGACCTCAACTAATGTCGCTAGAAAAGGGAGTGGTTTCCGGGGATTGCATGGTCCGTGGGCGAGTCTGTGCTTTCTGACGGGAATCCTACCTCAGATGCTGGTTATCTGCACCTTGACCATGCATATTGCATGCTCGATTCTGTACTCCGTTTTACAGGCATGGACATATCATTAGTACCTATGCTCATGGTTGTTGCCTGGCTCGCATCGATAATGACCAAGAATGATAAGCCTAGGAGCCAGGTGTTTCATGTTTCAACCATATTTGACGAGTGTTTGACCTTCGAAGTGTAAATGGCGGGAGTAGCTATATATAGCTTAGTACATAGTAGCTGTGAAGGAAATCTGGCTACCTAGTAGTGTAGTGTCTATCCCGTCTCCGTAGTTGCTGCTCATTGATCAGTCACCAGATCCAGATCTGGAATCCGCAGCGGGGAAATTTCGGGTATTCGTCTTGAGCATCTCCCCTTCATTCTCGATCTCGATCTCGGGTGGCTTGGGTTGATGATCCGGTTTATCTGGGCTTCGTTCTGATGTTCGGATAGGGAAAAGCTTGCCAGGGAAGGATATTGATGAATGCAGCCTAAGTGCTGTCGTGAGATTGATCTGTGTGTCCATTGCCCGCATTGATACATTCAAAATCAGTACTTGGGATATAGCAACAAAATACTAAGCCTTCTTCCATCAATCCTAGCATGTTAGCTCAGGGGAAGAGCGCCGGGCTCATAACCCGGAGGACCCTGGATCGAAACCAGGACATGCTAAAAGATTTCCTTTTTGTTTTTGCATTGTACTGAGTACCACCAACAACTTTCTATCCTTTCTTATTTGATGTTTCATTCATCTTATGTTTTGGATGGGCTTATAGATGAGCCTTCGAGATAGTATGCTACTTTTCACAGCAAACAATGATGAAACTGTATGCCCTTCAGGAAGTCGCCAATTCCTACACCGCTGAGATTTGCCTTGTCTGTCTGCCAATGTCGAAAAGGGTCGACGTCCATGTCAAGCGCCCCCTATGCCCAAGTCCAATATGGCTCAGTGGTCTTCGTGGGAATCCTGATAGAATTTGTAGCCATGCTGATTCAATGCCCGAGGATACTCTTTGTGTGGGTTGGTCTTTCCACATTGGAGCCGCTGTATATATTCCGGTACCGGTTCCGCACCCCATGGGAAGACCGACAAGAGCAATGCATACGTTCACTTGCAGTGAATGGATGTTTTATTCGCACAAGCAGGCAGACTGGGCACGTACACTGATACAAATAGAGGATAGTCATGCCAATAACAATAGAAAAAGATTAGCTGACAAAACAAGACCCATTCCACTTGCAGAACAAAATCTGAGTTTGTCCTAAAGATTGATGAGTAGATTGTAATGCTCGACGATGATATGGTGGTTGATAATACATTGATAAGGTTTGATTGACATCAACCAAGCATGTTAGCTCAGGGGAAGAGCGCCGGGCTCATAACCCGGAGGACCCTGGATCGAAACCAGGACATGCTAAAGATTTCCTTTTTTATCTTTGCTTCATCTTTATTTGACCACCATCTTCATCCTCTGCTTGCCGCGTATCCAGAAACCCGTCCCTGTCCCTACTTGAGTTCCTCATTCCAATTTATTCGCTTCCCGAACACGGATCATTGCAATTCCCGCTTGATCCTCATCTGCTCGCCAATCCGACCCGGCCCAGCGGTTTCTTTGTCCCGACCCGAAGACTGCCAGACATGACACTGGCCCCAACAATACGCGGATTCTCAATATATGCAACAGACTCAATGTCTACAAGAGTCATCCCCGTCGACGAGACTCCAACATCAGAAACCTCTCAACTATGCCCCCCCCAGCAAAGGACTTTAGCAGGGGGTCCGCGTACCGATACCATGAACGTCGCAACACCTTCGCTTGATCGAAGCCCAACACATTCAGCCGGCAGTCAGCGACAGGAAACCGATGGTCGGAGTATGTATACCCTGAGCAACTGGGCCTAAATCGTGCTCCTTGTCAGACGTCGAGTGACCTGGCCAATGTCGCCATTCGACCGAAGAGAGTGCCCATATCTAGCAGCTAGCAGGCATTGACTATAGCTATAATATACCCCCCCCAACTGTAGCCCAACCCTCAGCCATTCTCCGTATCCGAGGCACCTTATTATCACTCGCATGATCCAAGACAAGACAATCAAGAGACTCGACCAGAAAGGGTCGAATTTAAGCTTAACTTCTGCCACAGACGTGGCATGTTTGCTCACCCGCAAGCCTGCAACGGTATTGAGTATTTGAACATGGTTGAATGTGATCGGCGACACACGCTTTTATGCCCTGTGATGTACGGAGTAGACAACGAGGCTATGCAGACAAAGTGCAAAACTCAAGTCTGCATGGTATATTTTAGTGCTGACCTGACTGCTGACTACGCTCAAGGTCGAATCCAAAGCCAACATTAGTCCGAGATAACAACCTCACCTAAAGACTTCTCATTCGGTGACTGCAGGTCACACAGGGTGATGCAATGACAAGGCAAGAATCAGCAACATCGACTGACCCGGAAATGCCATGCTAGTGCCAGCGTGCGACTGCAGAGGCCACGCAAAGTGCATCGCATCAGACGTGGGCAGAGCGTCACTCTGGCTGCATGCACGGCAGATTGCCAGGGACCTTGCCCCACACCCGCCGAAGCTTGCAGGTAAACAATGAACATGTCATTCCTTGATCAAGGCCACCGGCACAATCTTCTACTTCGAAGTGTACTCCGTACATGCATAGGCCCAGGACAAAAAAGAGGAGGCTGGGAATGGGGCGGGCAGACGGTGCTAAAATAGTTTAATCGGCGGGTGGCGCTTGATGCTATTGTTAGAAAGGCGGTTTGCATATGACACAGTGACACAAGTGTTGACGGTGTGCGCACGCCCGTCGGTGTAGATGAAGTCAGAGAGTTTCAGTCAGATCTGGTTGATCCTATTATCAGTAAAGTACATTGAGCAACAATGCGGCCACTGCAGGGATCGATATACCTGAATATTAGTAGTATTTAATTTTGGGTTGCTGGAGTGAAGGTGATGCCTTACATAAGGCAGCGTCACTCGGGGTTGTTTTGACCGCCGCTCGGAGGGAGCCAATAAGAGAGCATCACTGGGAGAGCTCCGAGGTTCCCTGCCCGATTGAGTAAAACACGGAGTGGAAAAGCGAGGAGGCTGGACGATTCATACTTCACTCTTCCAACACTCTCTCCCCACTATCCTTCTTAGTTCCTGCGTCTGAGCCATGGCTGGGAGTACTTTAGTTCTTAATCCTTTTACATTCCCCTCCCTCCCCCATTCCGAACTGCACCTTTTCGTCTATTCTTCAACACGTGTTGGGCTGCCCGTGATCGATTGTATACTACCTTACACACGGAGTAATACTTCACAACCTTGTTCCGTCGCCTAATCTTCTCAGTTGAAAGTGACTCGGGTTACACAAGGACTTCCAAGTCCTTCCTCGTCAAGACATCCTATCCTCATCGATATTTAATTCGTCTCTGTGTCTATCCCTTTGCCCGACTGTCTACTACACATACTTCTTGCCATGCAGATCCCTCGATTTGGGACCGTCTTGGGCCTCTTCTCCTACTTGAGCCTGGCCACGGCTCAGACTTACACTAGCTGTAATCCTACGGAGAGCAGTACGCTGAGTTACTCCCAGATGATAGGGAAACAGCATGCTAACCACCCTTGGCAGCATGTCCTGCGGACACCGCACTGGGAAAGTCCGCATCTTTCGATTTTACCCAAGGAAGCTCTTCCGACTTTGAGCCAACGGGTACCCCGACATATAGTGATGATGGGGTTGCGTTCACAGTGGCTAAAGAGGGGGATGCCCCACTTATCCAATCCAAATGGTACATTATGTTCGGACGTGTTGAATATGTGATCAAAGCGGCTCCCGGAACCGGTATTGTCAGCAGTGCCATATTACAGTCTGACGACCTGGATGAGATTGATTGGGAGTGGCTCGGTGGGAACGACAACCTGGTGCAAAGCAACTACTTTGGCAAAGGAGCAACCACCCCAAACAATCGCGGAGCGACCCATGACGTCGCTAACAACCACGACGAATTCCATACATATACCATCGATTGGACCGACGAGCAGATTGTCTGGCAGATCGACGGCAAGACAGTGCGGGTGCTCACTCCGGAGACAGCTAACGCCAATCAATATCCCCAGTCGCCAATGGTAGTGAAGGTGGGAATCTGGGCCGGAGGCGACCCGAACAACCCACAGGGCACTATCGGTGAGATATACTAGCAATGTGCCTAAAGATCTCTTCAGTGTGCTAACACTTTTGATAGACTGGGCTGGTGGAGAGACCGACTACAGCGCGGGGCCGTACACAATGTACATGAAGTCCCTCAAGGTTACCGACTACTCGACAGGGTCCTCTTACACATATAGTGACAAAAGTGGACTGTGGACGTCAATTACCTCCGATGGAGGCAAGATCAACGGCAACATCAATGCAGACACAATCTCCTCCATTCAATCTGCACCTACCATAACCGCGACGGTCAGCATTCCAATTCCCTGGCCTGGGACCCATCGAGAAACTTCGAGTTATGTGACCCCCGATGTCTGGCCTTGGGTTACTGGCACAGGGGCAGCCGCTGCCTACACTGGTAGTTGGTCTTATTCCAGTTCAGGACAGGTTCAGCCGCCAAGTGCGGCTTCCGTGAGTGAGCATCTCCAGTACAATTTTGATGAATTGTCGAACGATAGTTGACGCATCAATGAACAGCCTTCCTTCCGGTCTACATCAGCCTGCTCGCCATCTGCGCCGGCCTCATCCTCCCCCTTCGTCTCTAGAACTAGCTCGATGATTAGCTCAGTCGCCAGCTCAATTGCCAGTTCGACAGGGACTAGTGTGACATTGACCGGCTTGATCAGCTTAACCAGCTCGACTAGAGTCAGCTCGCTGGAGACCATTTCAACGCCCTACTGGAAAACGACCAGTCCGACAACGACCGGCCTGATGACAAGCAGTGCGATACTTAGCAGTTTTAGGAAAACTAGCACGCATCTGACCGGCCCAACAATGACCGGTTCGACGATGACCATTCCAACGCCCAGCTGGAAAATGACCAGCTCAATGATGACGAGTTCAACGACGACCAGCTCGATCAAACCTAGTTCATTGACGACTAGCTCAACACCGACTGGCTCGCATACCGGTTCGACTTCCAGTGGCTCAATAACAGCCAGTTCGGTTGTTAGCAGCTCTCCATCACATAACTCTACTGCTACATCCCAGACTAGCCTGAACACTGGTCATACAACCTCTTCATCTTCCACCATGACCACGAAAGCCATCGAAACCACCCAGCGTACTACTTCAACTGGATCTTCGGCTCAACCTACACAAGTATCGCCGACTGAGACAGTCCACATAGCGCCTGACGTCGACGCAGGACGCGGTTCCTATGACGTTCCACTTTCCATGGCCGCTATATGTGGGCTCATCTCGTCCACACTGGCTCTGGTCTAAACCATGCCTATCCATTGCGAATGATTCGCATTTACGAGTTATGTTACATTTCTACGATCATTGCGACGCGACGTGATACGACACGATACAACCAAGACTAATGATGCACGACCTTTTATGAATAGTTGCTTCCTATGTATATGAATGACGACCTCTCTCCGGAGCTTGATGATCTTGTTGATATTTTCTATTGGATATGTATAATGTCAATGGGGCAGCCATCAACATGCTGGCGAGACTGTTGGATTTAGAACACTCTACTTAGAGCCCATAGCCTAGACAATTCTAGATAGCAGTATGACCCTAAAGAGCGTCTATGAGAATTGCTACGCTGCAACCGGAAGTACATTAGCTGGTTCGTCTCGAAGCGATCTGCAGATCACTGTTCTGGAAACCGTCCCAGCAAGCAGGCCAGGCTTTTTCTTGCCGTTTGACTCGACGCACACGACCTCAACTGATAATTTTCACCGGGGAGAATCCAGACCGTCTTCCCGACAAAGTACCCACCATCACGATCGGGACCAAGCAACCCCAGCGCCCACGATCGACACCCCCACAACCAACCCAACAAACAGCGGGGGCCACCGCTTCTCTGCAAGGTGCATAGTAGCCCCGCGCGCGATCCTAGAGTAACCTAGAGTATAACCCACCCAACCTCCCAACCCTAACCCCAACGTCAACCCCAACATAAAACATCAACCTCGTCCAAATACTTACGTTCACCTCCGTCATAAATCATCGAGCAATACCAGAAAAACTCCCGCATCCGACCCATGCTCTCCTGCCCTTTTTCTGTGATATGTGTGCAAGCATCACACAGGACTCCGACCCTGCAGCGTCTCATCCAAGCCCTGGCTCCGGCTCCGATGACCGGACCGGACCTTCCACCGGTGGACGAAGCAGCGGCCCAGACCGAACAGAGGGGACTCGTGGACCACGCTGTCCGCGCCGGTGTAGATGAAGACGTCGTAGAGCCAGCCGCCGACGGCGCAGCCGAGGAAGGGGGCGATCATTGGGATCTGGTCCGAGTTTTTTTTGGTCAGTGTTGTTGGGGGATGTGTTTCTCAAGCACGAACTACTCACCCAGAAGTAATACCCCCCGGCTGTCCAGACCTCCGTCCCGTACCCGATCATATACGCCACCAGGCGCGGACCAAAGTCCCTGGCGAGGTTAATCGCGTACCCCGTTTCCCAGCCGAAGCAGGCGCCGATGCCAAAGATGAGGAAGAACATTGCTAGGGGCATCATGAGGGGGAGACGGGGGTTTGTTGGTGGTGGTGGTGGTGGTGCTGTTGTTGTTGGAGTGGAGGGGCTGCTGTCCTGCTTGAGCTCGGTGTTATCCTTCACGGCAAAGATCCCGAACATCAGGATCGCGCTGGTGATGAACTCGGAGAAGAACATGCCCGTCCGCGTCATGAAGGGGGCGGGATAGGTGCTGAAGATGCCTGCGGTGGCGGTCGGGGAGTACCCGGGGACGGTGCGGGTTGTAGACCCCCCCTCGTAGGCGTCGATGGCCGAGCGGTAATTCGCATAGACGATGGCCGCGCCGCACATGGCGCCTAGCACCTGCGAGAGGAGGTAGATGGGGAATCGGCGCCAGGGGAAGCGGCGGAGCAGGCAGCTGGCGAGCGTGACGGCGGGGTTGAGGTGCGAGCCTGAGGGGCTGGAGACGTAGACTCCGAGCATGACGCCGAGGCTGTGATGGCTGGTGTTTAGCTGTGAGTAGCATATGGAGATGAGGTGATGAGGTGGGGTGTGTGCACAGTACGTTGGGGGTTGTCACGGATGATAGAATGGAAACAACAAAAGCTTACCCCCAGCCCCAGGTGATTGACTGATACTCGCCTTTCTGTTTCCCACTGAGCAGCACTTGCGCGACCACCCCGTCACCGAAGAGCATCATGATCATGGTGCCGAAGAACTCGGAGAACGCATAGCGGAAGGCAGGTCGCATCCGGCTGCATCGTGGCTGGGTTGGCTGTGGCGTGGACTCGCCCTCGGTCAGATTGAGGCCACCAACGGCGGCTTCGAGGTTCTTGCTCGCACTGGCTAGGGTTATGCTGCTCTGGATGACAGGGTCCGCCATGTAGGAGTAGTAAACTTTGTCCATCTCGAAGGCCAGAGGTGGAGGGGGACGGAGAAGTGTTTATGTAGAAAAGGCCCAGGTCCAGTAGAAATCGCCGAGAAGTATAAAATGAGAAGTTTAACAGATGTGGTGGGACATGCTGCTACTAGTTTGGTTGTCAATATCCTCCATGGTGTGACCTTCACATTCACTTTCTCGCCGTTGCCACTAGTCAGTATAGCTGGTTTTGATGGCTCCATAACGGGTTTCCTCGCCAATCTAATACCTTGGTGCACAGACATGGCGCGAAACAAAAGGACGCTAGGTTGAACGATAGGTACCATAGTTCTGTATATCTCTTTCTCAGGAGTGCAGATTGTCCAACCTGGGTAACAGACCTACATTCATTGCCCAGGCCCGGTTTGGACCACTCGGGGATATGGACGTATAGGATTAGGGTTGTTGAACAGCAGCCTGCTGATACTGATGGTGCCGATTGAGCTTAACTTTCCCTGTCTAACCAGGGCAGGGACGGCAGATGATTCGATAGGCGTTGCTTGGACTGGTCTCATTGATCAATCAACTCGACTGATAGGAATAGGCTTGCACATATAAGAAGTTGCTCATGTCCTACAGCACCCGTGTGTCCATTGAGTAACTGAGCACCACCGCTTGTGCAACCCGTATGCATGGTGAGGGGCTACCATGACGAACCACATGCGAGAGACACGAAGTCCATAAAGTGAGGTTGTTCAAATCAGAGTGACACTATCCTCAGCATTTAACTTATGCACGAACGGTCACGATTTGTAACCTACCATGTTGCTGTCACCGCGTCAGAGTCTGTAGTCAAGCACTGGCTGCACATGAAGGACAAAGTGCTCACTCAATATACAAGGTTGAAGCCTTCTAGAATTCATCCATGCATGAGACTGAAGTGCAGTTAGCCGTATGGATATAGGTTCAATGTTGGCCGGGGGAAGGCAACTGACTTACAGAGCTAATATGGATACTTCTTACTTCCTCTTCTCCCTCCTCTCCCGCCTCTGCCTACCTTTTCTCCTTCACACAACCACTTCAATTCTATGAACAAGGATGTGGTGCAAGTGAGTGATCGAGCCCCTGAATAGGATTTCTGAGCCATGCGCCGATGGATATGGACTTTCCAAGACGCCCCGCAGACGCGCACCCTGTCACGAGTGTTGGGTTGTACAAGCATCGTTTGTACATTACAGTAACTGCCCCGCCAACTTTCCCAGCCCCTCAATGGTCTGGCATCTACGTCGCTTGGTATATAACACAAATAGCCCCTGGAAGAGAAGCTATTCCACTCACATCTCTACTAATAGCCTGGTGCTTAAACTACCGCCAACGAGAACTTTGTCCCTCCCAGCAAGATGGACAGACCAGACGTGTTTGTTGGCTCAATCGACCAGGGAACTACTAGCACCAGGTTCCTCATTTTCAGCGAAGCTGGCAAGCTAGTGGTATCTCATCAAGTCGAGTTTACACAAATCTATCCAAACCCAGGGTGAGGCAATGACATCCTGAAAATACTGCTTGTTACTGACACAGACCCAGATGGCATGAACAAGAACCGCTCGAGATAGTCTCCTCCGTGGAAACCTGCATAGAAGAGGCAGTCACTAAGCTCGAGGCTCAATGGTTGTCTCGCTCAGATATCAAAGCCATTGGCATCACGAATCAGCGCGAAACCACCATCGTTTGGGACTCGGACACCGGCGAACCACTCTACAATGCGATTGTCTGGACAGACACCAGATCACAAGATATTGTGGATAGACTCAAACAAAAACCGGGGGCATCGCGACTGCAGCAGATCTGTGGTCTCCCGCTGTCCACCTATTCATCTTCGACGAAGCTTCTCTGGATGCTCGAGAACGTCCCCCAAGTCCGAGAGGCATACGAAAGGGGCACCCTGGCTTTTGGTACCGTCGATGCGTGGCTGGTGTACCGACTCAATGGAGGTCCCAAAATCAAGAATGTCTTCGTGTCAGACCCTACCAACGCATCGCGAACCATGTTCATGAATCTGAAGACCCTCAAATACGACGACTATCTCCTGGACTTCTTCGGCATCAAAGGCAAGATCCATCTGCCCAAATTAGTCCGTTCTTCGGACACCAAGGCCTATGGGACGCTCGCGCATGGCGCTCTAGCGGGCACACCTATCACGGGCTGTCTGGGAGATCAATCGGCAGCGCTGGTCGGCCAGAAGGGGTTCTCACCTGGAATGGCCAAGAACACATACGGCACGGGCTGCTTCCTTCTGTATAATGTGGGTGACACTCCGGTCGTCTCTTCACACGGATTACTGGCCACTGTGGCGTATCACTTCGACGGGAAACCTGTATATGCCCTGGAAGGGAGCATCGCAGTAGGTGGATCAGGTGTCAAATTCCTCCAAAACAACTTGGAGTTCTTCAAGGAGCCCGCAGAAGTCAACGATCTGGCGTTGACAGTCGATAACAATGGTGGCTGTGTATTCGTCACTGCATTCAGCGGCCTCTTTGCTCCTTACTGGATTGACGATGCTAGAGGGACTATTTGTAAGATAGTAACCTCTTCCACTCTACCCTCTAGCTTATCCTTCCCATACGACGTATCCCTCCTTAAGCCCACCATCAACTAACAGACAAGACAGTCGGAATAACCCAATACACCCAGAAAGGCCACCTCGCCCGCGCAATCCTCGAAGCCACCTGCTTCCAAACCAAAGTCATTCTCGACGCCATGGAGAAAGACAGCGGCCACTCCCTCGCTGAGCTGGCCGTGGACGGAGGCATGAGCAACTCAGACCTAGCCATGCAGGTGAAGTCAATCAACCCGACCATACCCTTCTTCCCCCCAATCCTCCACCCCCACAAGCCCTTCCTCTTTCCACCCAAAGCCTCCAACCACCACCACCACCACCATCAAAATCTAACGAGCGCAAAAAAAGATCCAAGCAGACCTAATCTCCATCCCCGTCTACCGGCCCCAAATGCGCGAGACCACCGCTCTGGGCGCCGCCATCGCCGCCGGCCTCGCCGCCGGCGTCTGGCGGAACTTCACCGAGCTGCGCGAAATCAACCGGGGCAGTGGCAGCGGGGCTACGGTCTTCGAGCCCCGGCCCGGACGTCGCGAGGAGAGTGCACAAGCGTTCGCCTTGTGGGAGAAGGCGGTGGCGATGAGTCGGGGGTGGGTGGGCGATCACCGTCATCATCGGGGGGCGGGAGAGCCGAACCCAGCGGCGTCGGACCATTTTCGCGTTGATATGCCCCTGGATTTGGGCGGGCTGGTTGGTGGCCAACATCGCGTGACTACCGCTACTGCTACCGGTGCTGCTACTGCTACTGCTACTTCTACCTCGAAGGCGGTAGGGGAGGTCTGGCCGCTCCAGGTCACCTTAATCAGCACTTCGGCGGATCTGGAGGATGCGGATGAGGAGGACTTGTACCTGGAGTTGCGGAGGGTGGAGGTTCTGCAGAGGTTGAGGAAGGTGAGGAAGGCTAAGATTGGGATTGTGTGATTATGAAACAGGAGATGTTTCTCTTCCCCTCCTGATGCAAGACTCGCCGACTAGCGCAGTAAAGGCGTACGAGCAGGCCATGAATGAAAACAGTGTGCCAAATGGCCGACCGTGTATAGGTCGTAATACAGCAAGAGATACGGTCCCCTCGATCCTGCGAGTTTGTCGCCCTATGAGAAACGCCTTTCCTCCACTACCTACCCAATTTACTGTTCCAGCCCAGCTGTCCCTCCTACCCAGAGTCAGACCGCCGGGACTGGTAGTCCTACCTACCGACTAAGCCTTCTCAGCGAGAAGATCGCCGTCGGCACTACGCTCAAACACACAATTCAACTCCGCCGCGGGTGTCAGCGTGACCTCGAACTTCAACGGCGGATCCACGACCTGGTCCATGCCGCGCGCGGGCAGCGCCCGGATGGCGCGGTAGGCCTGCAGGATGCGGACGACGGTGTAGCCCATCTCGATGGTGGCGAACTGCTGGCCGAGGCAGATGCGCGGCCCGCCGTTGAAGGGGATGAAGTGCCAGGGCTTGGGCTGCCAGCCGGACAGCCAGCGCTCGGGGGTCCACCGCGCCGGGTCGCAGTATCCGGGGCTGCCGGGCGGCGGGTAGTTCTCGGGCGCGCGCTGCATGAGGATGGTGGAGTAGATGACGCGGGTGTTGGCGCGGATGCCGACGGGGGACAGGCCGTCGGGGCCGCCGCCCCGCGGCAGCGAGGTGTTCTGCAGCGACGAGCGCACGTTGAACGGCACCACCGGGTACAGCCGCATGGTCTCGTTGAGCACCGCGTTCAGGTACTTCATCTCCTTCAGGTCCAGGTAGCTGGGTTTGCGGCTGTCCGGGCCGAGCCCCAGGCGCGCGTCGATCTCGGCGCGCAGCCGGGTGACGACGGCAGGGTGGCGCGCCAGCTCGAAGAGGCAGAAAGACAGCGTGGCGGCGGTCGTGTCGCGGCCGGCTAGGAGGATCGCCACAAGCTGATCGCGGAGGACCTGCGGATCGCGGGTGAAGCGGGCAAGGGCGTCGAGGAAAGTGTCCTTGCTGGACAGCTTCTGGTCGAGTTCTTCCGGTGTCAGAGCCAGGACTCGTTCGATGTAGGGTCGCAGGAATTCATCCATGATGCGAAGGTTCCTGCGGAACTCCTTGCGCGGGATGAGGAAGTTGAAGGGACTGGGGTTTGAGGAGCATGTTAGCCATGTTGCTGCTGCTAGCTGGTGGTGGCAGGTCATGGGCCATACATACCCCGTTCGAAAGATATCAGCCTGGCATCGCTGCACGTAACGGAAAGACTCGGCAAAGACGGCGGTCGGGTTGTGAAGACTGTTAGTTCCCTGACCGAGAAGGTAATCTGTCGCAGCGTCCAGAGTGTACCTGAAGAACAAAGGAGTGACATCAACGACCTTGCTCTCCCCGGCGGAGGGCCCGCCCGCCAGGAGGGGAATCAGCTTCTGAACATGTTTCTCGAAGAGCTCGGTGTCGACGATGCGCTCGCGAACGAACATGGGACGGATCAGATGCCTGGAGCGAGACCACAGCTCACCGTCGGTCGCGAAGATACTGTCGCCTAGGAACTCCTTCCAATCCCGGTGAAACTGCTCCCCCTTGCCATAGTCGGCGAACTGGCCGGTGAGTAGGGCTTTGATGTTTTCAGGGTCTAGTGTGAAGATCACCCGGTTGGAGATTCCGGAGTCAATCTCCACTGTCTGTGGGAATGCCACCCCTGACGCGCCTTTGGCATTTCTGACCGTGTTGCCCCAGAACTCCAAGTCTTTAAACTTGGTACTGGCAGCCAGGGCTCTGTATATGTGATCAATGGCTTTGATGTGAACCTGTTAGTATTCTCTCGCTACAGAGGATGCTACATTGCAAGTACGCACCATATGGCAATGTGAGCGGCACTCGAGGAGCCCTGCAGCCAAGTCGAGAGATCTCGAGAGAGACCTGGACTTTGCGAAGCAGGCCTGCAATGAAAAGAACCCCCAGAAGGCATAGTGCTGCCTTGCCCGCAGTCATCTGGGCTAGGGTTTCCTCAATCATGATCGATGCGCGGGAGTTAACAGCTTTGTCGCTGGGATAAGGTCAAGAGGAGGCTGGCATGCGTTGGCAGTGATAGCAGGGCAAAATAAAGAATTAATTGCCATGAGGGCCGGGCGCGGAGTCAGGGAATCATTATAATTGCAACCACCGGACCTGGCATGGAAATGTGCAGACATGGTTCTGCGACGGCGATCACTCGTTAGTGTTAGTTGGTGTACGGACAAGTCTACGTCTTAGCGCGATTCCTTTTTGAGAAATGCTTGCGAACCCCGCGTGTTGAAGCCGATGGGCTCAGGGCGTCATAGCCGTGGCCGAGGCATATTCGATCACAAGCTTCCCTGCTCAGTCGGTTGGCCTCCGGGGTGGATTTTGAGACTTAAGCGCGATAGCGAAAAGCCCTACAGAGACAGCAGCATGGTGTGACATCCCCAGTCCGACTGGCTGCCTGAACATGTCAGCAGGACTTCTTGTTTGGAAATCGAATACTAACGTGACAAGAAGTGGCCATTTGGCGGCGTCTAGCATTAGAGTGAGAGTGTGAAGCGCCAAGTACCCCGGATTAACAGGCCGTCCAGTGATTCACGTACTGTGTAGAAGGTAGACTACTAACTTAAGTTTAGTATGGGGTGTGAGTTAAGGCACCCGGGCCATTTCACCCTCTTGCCCAAAGGGGATGTGGCCAGTTGGCGTAGGCCTATCAGTAAGCTGCTGCGCCACATAATATCATCCCGGCCTTCATTCACGTGACTCAGATGTGGCTGGGGCGAGTGTTCTCGCCGGTGGTGGTTGTCTTTCATCATCAGCCCGCAATGAAAGTTCCTCCGGTCAAGCACCACTTTTTGTCTCTATTCTTATCTCTTTCATACCTAGAATCCCTCGAATTCTCACTAAAGACACAAATACTTAGCTAGTTTTCTTCAACACAGTCAGCGTGGCTACGCGCGCCCTGTCAATCCAGCAGTGCGGCATTTAGCACTTATCAAGCCTCTCTTTTCTCCCTCCCTCGCTCCTTGCCACACCATACCTGACTCGCTTTCACTGCGCACTTCATCATGACGACGATGGTTGCAGCAGGCACTCCGCTCGCGGAAGCCTTGAGCAATGTCATCCCCCCGAAATTGGTCGAGATGGGGTGGAGTTCCGATGGCGACGATTCGGCCTTGATTGAATATGTGATTCTGATGTTGGTCAACGGCAAGACCCAAGAGCAGATCGCCGGCGAACTGTCCAACGATCTCCTTGGCCTTGGCGAAGGTGATACCCAGGCTCTCGAGTTTTCACGGTGGTTGTTCGAACAGGTGGAGATCCTCAACCAACAGATCAATGGTGGCGGCGCCCCGGTCTTGAGCGACCCGACTTCTGCGCAAGCAATCCCTTCGTTCGCAGAGCAGGAGGCTGCTGTTCCTCAGCCGGCCGGGCTTGACAACAACGCGCAAGACGATGCAGACATGGCTATGGGTGACGACGGAACCTTGGCAGGCGACTTTATGTAAGTCTCTGTGTTATTTTCTATCCCGCCACGGGAATCAGGCTAACGGCAATTCTGAAGACCAACGGGCCCGAAGGCAATGCGCAATGGGCGCCCCGCTGGAAGAGGGCGGATGCTCAACCAAATAAACAGGGCGATGGATCGCGGCGATCGTGGCGACTCGACTCTTCATCGCGTTCGTGGACCTGGTGGCGGACGCATCAACTCTCACGGCCAGAACAACGGAAAGGGTCGGTTCAACCAAAATGGTGGAGGAAGGATGCAGGGCGGCCGTCAGATGAACATGGGGCCGATGATGAACATGAGTCAGAACGATCAGATGCAGTTGATGTCTCTTCTAGAAGAGCAGGCACGGATGATGGCGCAACTCATGCCTGGCTTCGTCTCCCCCGCAATCAACCCGGCCTTTCAGCAAAATGGTTCCCAGCAGGGCCGCTCATTATTCGATCGCGTCGAACGCCAACACGGCCACCGGCATCAACGCAACCAGCGCAACAATCGCACAAACGAACATGATAACGACATCGATATGGATATGAAGCCTCAAGGGGAGCAGGATGAGAGCAATACCGATACTGTTTGCCGATTCAACCTTCGCTGCACGCGGAGGGACTGTCCTTTCGCCCACCAGTCGCCAGCAGCACCTGAAGGCAGCCCGGTCGACATCGCGGACCCTTGTCCGTATGGAGCGGCATGCAAGAATCGCAAGTGTACAGGGCGTCATCCTTCTCCAGCTGTCAAGTCCGCGCACCAGGCCGAGGAGATGTGCAGGTTCTTTCCCAACTGTGCCAACCCCAACTGCCACTTCAAGCACCCTTCCATGCCGCTATGCCGCAATGGTGCCGACTGCACCACCGAAGGCTGCAAATTCACACATCTCCAAACGGCTTGCAAGTTCAATCCCTGTCTCAACCCGAGCTGCCCCTATAAGCATGCTGAGGGCCAAAAGGGCGCCTTCTCCGATAAAGTTTGGACTCCCGGCTCCGGCAAACCCCACGTGAGCGAGCGGAAATTCGTGACGGATGAAGATGGGCAGGAGGAACTGATCAAGCCGGGCGCTACGGACGGCTCGCAGAGCCAGGAGATTGCGACATGATGTGGCTTGCGTGCTTTGATGATTGCTTGCACTGCATATGATCCCTCCCACAGTCCTCAGTTCATCATGTACTATGTCCGTGTGAAGGGTGGTTCACGGCGGGGAAGGGCGTTTAAGTTTGCTTTCGATATTATGACAGAATCACCTACTGGTTTGTAAATAGAATGGGGATATCAAGGACGTTTCTCATACGGCGTTTTCCATAAAAGGACAAATATCACACTGCTTGTAGTAACATGATATGATACTTGGTTCAATTCTTGATTAAGATGGTCATACTTTCAAGCATTTGTATTCAACATGAAGAGTAGAGATTTCACTACGATGCTAGAGCGCTACTTTTTATTTGGCGCTGGCAACACAGGAGTGTCCAAGGCTACGTAGTTACGTACAGGAGTAATAGGGTCAACTATAGTATTACAGCAAGTCCAGTGATCTTTAGCCCACCGCCTTGTCCTAGAAGGGATTTACCGCCCATCCCGTGCGGGGATACTGCCAGCTCCAATTCCAACCTCTCCATATAACCCCAATTGTCGTTCCTCGTCCCCAATCCCGACATCATCTCCTTCAGCTTTGCCCTCACCCGAGATGCGGCTAGCATGCTCCTCAAAAATCGCACTCAGAGTGGCGCGGGCGCCATTGGTGCGCAATGGCAATGGGAATCGTTGCCTGCATACCAAGCGGTATAATGCCGCCGTCATCGGCGGAGGCATCACCGGCCTTACAGCAGCCTACCGGCTGATGCGAGATCCAGCATGCAAAAAGGTCACGCTCTACGAGTCACAGCCCCGTCTCGGCGGGTGGATGCAATCAGATAAGGTGACGCTCGACTCCGCGGATTCCGGGGTAGGGGACCTCATTCTCGAACGCGGCCCGCGGACCTTACGAGCAGGATTTCCGACATGTCTTCCTCTCCTTGACATGGTATGCTGACTGCCGCATTCGCTTCCATACCAAGCCCATACCCATCTAATGCGCGAGGCAGATGTCTGAGCTAGACTTGCTTGATGATGTAGTCGTGACCGCGAAATCCTCCCCGGCCGCCACCAACCGTTATATCTACTATCCTGATCATTTGGTGCGCATTCCACAACCGCGCCCCGACCAGAGCTTGTTCGAGAATCTTTCGGAACTATGGAACACGGTGACCAAGGAGCCCTTATTCGATGGTGTCGCCAAGGATATCTTCCATGAGTACTGGGATCCGGCACCCGGGTCCGATCAACGTGACGAATCGATCGCGGACTTCATCTCGCGTCGTTTCGGCGCGAAGGTGGCGGACAACTTGGTCTCTGCGGTCATGGCTGGCATCTTTGCAGGTGATATCGATCGTCTCAGTGCGCGCACATTGATGGGCACACTCCGTATGCGGGAAGGGAACGGAAGCATCTTGAAAGAAATGCTACTGGACCAGCTGGCTGGACGGAGTTACTGGAAGATGGATGATCTTTTGGCTTTGCAGTCTGTGGGAGCCAAAAAAGACCTTGAGTACTGGAAATCCCTCAAATCGCTGCTCAGCGGTGCCAGTGTGTTCACCCTGAAGCAGGGCCTTGAACAACTTCCCCGCGCCATCGCCAAACAGTTGGAGGAGTCCGAGAAGGCTGAGGTCATCACTTCGGCTAACATACGATATATGATGCACGATTCTAGCACGGGCAACATCATGGTAAGGAGCTGGCCCCGTGCTGTGTGGCATTTGACCGAGTAAGCTGATGCGGTTCTAGATCGATATTGGAACAGAGGGTCCTCAATCATACCACCGAGTGATCTCTACTATCAAACCGCTTCAGATGGCAAAAATGGCTCCTCAGTGGATGGCCAAGAGCCGGTTCTATCCTACTGAATCCGTCAAGCATTTTCAGGCCGACGAAAACAACTATGCTGTGACGGTCATGGTAGTCAACTTATATTACAAGGCCGAAGACGACTTGGACATACCTAGGGGGTTCGGGTACCTCATCCCACGGAGTGTCTCCTATGAACAAAACCCTGAGTTGGCCCTGGGGGTCATCTTCGGAAACGAAACCTCCGTGGGCCAAGATACTGCCGGTAACACCAAATTGACCGTAATGCTCGGCGGCCACTGGTGGGACGGCCTGCCAAAGTCGAATCTACCAAACCATGACCAGGCCTGCAGTTTTGCACGTGCTGTACTTCAGAGGCACCTCAAGATCAGCGCCGAGCCGCTCGAGGCGAAGAGCTACCTCCACGTAGATGCCATTCCGCAGTATACTGTCGGCCATCTTGGGCGCATGCATGCCCTCTCCGGGGCGGTCCGGAAGGAGTTCCACAACCGGCTGACGCTTGCTGGCTCGTGGTACGGGACCAGCGGGAATGGTGTCCTGGACTGTGTGCGACAGGGCTATCTGGCCGCTTCCTATGGAGTGGGTCGGAAACTCACGGTCGGCCGGGGCTTGAGCCCCTGGAAAGGCTATGACTACGAAAACTGGGAGCTAGAGGGCGGCATCGTGACTTCACCCGTGCGATTCGCCGACATCGGGAAATCGGAGCGCCGAGTACTTTGATGCCCTCCATTATTCGCTGTTGCATGCTACCATGTCGGATCGTGACCGCTTACTGAGGAACAAGGCTGATCTGATAATGACAGATATCCACACGGCTCATGTGGAGGTATATAGACTTCCGGTAAACAGACCAGCAAGTTCAATTTGGAAATAAGATATGAACAGGGACGGTAGGGAACTAGATATGCTTTGTAATAATACATTGTGCAGCTCCCCCCCGGGACCGAGATGAGAAGTGATCATCCGCGAAGAGCGATGTCTGTCTCGAAAAGCCGTGGGAGATTGTTCATGCAGGCCGACGAGCCCTGAGGATATTCCGTGATAGTGTGATCTTCACCCTCCCAAGCGAGGCGTCGGGAGAGCCGGCATCGGCCAAGCTTGAGTTTCGGTTCAGCTGCAGTGTGACGCCACATCGGCATTCTGTGGAAAGCGGCCATAGACAACTCTTTGGGTCCCTCATTCGGAGGTAAGCACCGCGATCGTGGTACTTGGTGACAAGTAGCTCAACGTTTCGAGGCCTGGTGAGTCTGATAACATCAATCGCCATTAAGCGTCCTTCAGACCTTCTCACTTTCCTCGCCCTTCTCTTCTGCAGAAGCGTCTTTCTTGTCCCCATTGGCATCAAACCCCAGCGCATCGAGCTGGCGAACGAGTTCCTGGATCTTGATGACCTTTTCGAGCTGTTCGGGGAGCAGAGCCTCGCCTTGGTTCTTCTTGTCGCGCAGATCACGGGCCTGCCTCAACTTCTTCTTCAGGTTGCGGGCCTTCTTCTCATTCTCCGCTTCGGGATCCAGCGCCTGCTCCTCGGTCGGCTTACCCTCCGCTTCCTTCTTCGCGCCGCCGTTGGGTGCAGCCGCCGCAGCGCGCCAGTTGTCAATCTGCGTCAGGTCCTTGGCTGCGCCCGGTGCATCCTGAGTGGCCTTGGCCTTCTTCCGCGCCTCTCGACGTTTGGCGTTCTTGTTGCTGGCTGCGATGCCCGGTTTGTTGGCGTCAGAATCCTCGACCGGCTTGAGGCCTTCGGCGCCCGGCACACCGCCGCCGGTCTTGCCGCGGTTCTTCCAGGCTTCGGCCGCGCGGTTCTTGTAGAGTTCGACATCCTCGGGGGGGCGGTAGCCCGGTCGGACGCGGATCTCGCGACGCTTGGACCCGTCGGCGCGGGTTGAGGAGGGGATGAAGCGCTCTCCGGTGGCTTCGTTGGTGGCGATACCGGACGAGGTGACCCCACCGTTCTTGTTGGTTGCCATTTTTTGGAAGGTTGGCGGGGGAGAGTGGATGGTGGATGGCTGAGGGTGGGAGCGGAGTCACGAAGATTCTCAGACCCTTAGACCAATGAAGGTGGTGGGTGGAAAGAGAGAGGGGCCTGTCTAGAGGAGTGCTAGATACAAATAAGTAATGCCCCCGGTCTTTGGATAGTATGAGGGCGGAGGGCAGGGTATTGAGACGATGCCCGAAATGAATTCAATTAGTGTAGATGAAAAGAAGTGGAATGAGATGAACATGGATGATGAATTCATCCGTGACGGGCGGGAGAGGCTCTGGGCCAATTTAAGAGGCGCCGATCCGACTGGCCAATCAGGGCGCCGGTGTTTCCCGCTGCTGCTTTTCGTCTGAACTTATCCGAACGGCGATTCTTCCAACCTCATTCCCTCCCGTTACGCTACTTCCCCACGTTTCGCTCTTCTCCCACTTCCACCTCCGTTCCATTTACAATCCAGCACAATGGCCGGCGCTGTAAGTGTCTTCCGCAACTTGGTTGCCAGGACCGCTGCTCCTGGTGCCTGTGGTTCACTGGGCTAACTGCAGGGTGTCTCCGGATCCAGTTCACTACCACTCTCTACCGGTATGTCTCCTCCCTCTCGGACCCTCAATTGAGACCCTGCTAACCACAATTGATTGCCATAGGAGTCTGTTCCAGCGCAATGCTGTCTACTTGACTGCCATCTTCACCAGTGCCTTTGCTTTCGAGCTGTACGTCTAGCCTCACTCTCCCGGCCTCCCCTCCCGGTGGGAGACAACTGTCGCAGGAACAAAGCACGGACTAATCACAACTCCTTCGGAACAGGGCTTACGACACCGCTTCCAACCGCGTCTGGGACGCTTTCAACCAAGGCGTATGTTCTTCCCTGCACACCCCTTCCGGATATGAGTTTCTTACTGACGGGTTGCTCTCCGATTCGCGCACACAGCGTCAATGGAAGGACATCAAGCACCGCTACATCAACCAGGCCGACGACGAGGATGACGAGTAAATATGACGATCCTACCGAGTGTTTTGTGCCGCAATTGTGAGGTGGTGGTGGTGGTGGTGGGATAGACCAAGTGCTGGAGGGTAGAGATATCCATTCCCATGTTATTTTACCGAGATCGGAGGAAAGGGGAATTGGGATCCTCCACGGTGTTTGTTTCTTGTACGAGATAGTCCTTTTTTATTTCTGGAAGAATGAGCTGTACTATTGCGTGCATTTCTCTTAAGAATTCGCTGAGAAGAGAGGTATCGGATTATCGAAAGGGAGACTGCGGTCAAGTCGCGCCAAGCCGCATTTGGTCTGTAGATTCAACACGATGTCATGCTTTTCCCCTCCTTCCTCCGGACACAACGCATTCTCACCAAAAACGCCTCTCTCACTTTCTTTTGTTCTTTCTTTAGCTTCTACTCTTTGCCTGTTGTGAATCTGGACCCGGAAGATCATATCCTAGCAGACGTTGAATTAAAGTCTCAATAAGTCGTTGTTTCTGGACTAATCCAAGCGGAGCCAACAGCTCTTCCCCCACCAAACTGTGGCATCGAACTTGCTACTTTCACTCCTACTACTACTAATTCATTCCCTCATTAACCACTTGCTATCTTAACAATAACCAAGCGACCCTGTTTGAAACCACCAAACTTCCCCACCCCCCTCTATCTTCCAAAGGTTCGTTGTCATTCTTCTGGTTCTATTGCCGTTCTTTTTGTCTTCTCCAGCCATTCTCAACATTGACGGCCCTGTGTTATCGGCGCCCGACTAAAGTTGAGCTCGCAGATTTATAAGCCCGCCACCAACGAAACCGAGAGGGAAAAAAACAGCCCACCTTCGAGCTCTCGTCTCAAGCAACTTTCGCACCCCCCCCGTCACCTTCCGTTACCCTTTCTCCTCCCTATATCGAGAGCCGGATGGGTGTCGCGCTCGCCGTGCAACAGCGATAAATGATGCTCACGGAATGTGAGAGGTTTCTCAGCGAACGCCTCCTGCGGCTTCCCGCCGACCACAACAACCGCTATGGACCCCAAGCCGAGAAAGAGCTTCTCGAGGTGCTCTTCCGCTCGCTGACCGGCCAGAATGAGGGATACCTTCGACAGTTATTTCCCAACGGGTTGCCGTCCGGCCCCTGGAAGCTGGCAGAGGCCCAGGGCGCCGAGGAAGGTGCGGAGTATACCGAGGCGGCGCGGGGCAAGCGCTGCGGCCATATCTTCAGGGCCGGCGAGGCCACCTACCGCTGCATCACCTGCGCCATGGACGACACCTGCGTGCTGTGCAGCCGGTGCTTCGACTCCTCCGACCACACCGGCCACCAGTATCAGATCTCGCTGTCGTCGGGCAACTGCGGCTGCTGCGACTGTGGAGACGAGGAGGCCTGGCGCCTGCCGTTGTTCTGTGCGATCCATACTGACAGCGAGGACAAGAAAAAGGGGAAGCAGAGGGCCCAGTCGCAACTGCCTTCGGATTGGGTGAAGGCCATCCGACTCACCATCTCGCGCGCCTTGGATTATTTCTGCGACGTCATCTCCTGCTCGCCCGAACAGCTGCGACTGCCCAAGACTGAAGAAGGGATCAAGAAGGATGAGGAAGCTTCCCGGCTGCGTCCGGGCTGGTATGGGCCCGGTGATGAAGCGGAGGAGGAACCCGAGTATGCCCTCGCCCTCTGGAACGATGAGAAGCACACCATCAAGGACGTCGCCACGCAAGTCACGCGAGCTTGTCGAGAGACGAATCGCTTCGGCTTCGAGCGTGCCCACGAGACCAATGACATTGGACGCAGCGTGGTCAAGTATTCCCGGGACCTGCCGCGACTGCTGGACGTGTCGAAGATCATTGAGCACATCAGGGTCACCGTCACTATCCGATCCGCCCGCGATACGTTCCGCGAGCAGATGTGCGCGACCATCGTCGAGTGGCTGCTGGATATCTCTGGATGTAGCGTCGGAGATGATAACGAGATTCTGCGCCACATCATCTGTGAAGAACTGCTTACGCCGTGGAGGCGTGGTAGCGGTGCCTACAATGCGGACATCGGGTTGAAAGGCATCGATGACCACCAACAGGACGAGGCGTCCCCGTGGCGCACGGTCATGCTCACAATATCCCCCCAAGTCAACGTTGTACTGGCCGCGGCTGGCGATGATGATGACGATGATGAGGATGTCAATTCGGGCAACGAGCAGGAAGGTGTCAATGACGAGGAGGAGGCGGAAGAATTCGAAGAGTACCTGCGTGCAGCGGGCGAGACCAACGAAGACGAAGATGATGATGACATGGAACTCGAAATGAACCGACTTCGGGATGAGGTAGACGACGATAATGATATGGTTATGGGCGACGCGGATGACGCTCTGGACATCGCTCAGACCATCTTAGGACTCGCCCAGCGGGAACAACAGCGGGAGCAACAGCGCGCCCGGCAGCAGCAGCAGCAGCAAGATGAACAGGGAGAGCAGCAGTCACAGGACTTGCGGAGGCAGGAGGCGCAAGAAGGGGCGCAGAACCGGTCGAACCAGGAGGATTCGCAACCCACCGCCAACGAGCAGGCCCCCAATGAACAGCACGAGCGACCGCCGACTTCCCTTGTTCCTATCCCCAAGACACCGTCAGGGGTGGTTCGACCATCGCCGGCGAAAACGCCTATTCATTGGCAGTATCGATCCCATGCTGCAGGGGAAGGGCAGGGTGTGCCGGTTTACGAGGACTTGTCGCAGCGCACTCGTCTCGACTGGATGATTCTCTATGATCTTCGCCTCTGGAAAAAGACTCGTACCGAACTCCGCGATCTCTATATCGGCACCGTTGTCAATGTTCCTCAATTCAAGCGGATCATGGGTTTGCGCCTGTCAGCCCTCTACACGGCGCTCGCGCAGTTGTACCTGATTGCAGACAGAGAGCCCGACCACTCCATTGTCAACCTCTCCTTGCAGCTTCTGACCACCCCGTCTATCACGGAAGAGATTCTCCTGCGTGGAAACTTTTTGACCAAGGTCATGGCCATTTTGTACACGTTTCTTACAACTAGGCAGGTCGGTGAACCTCATGAAGTTAATCCCAACGCCACCCTGGCATTCGACGCTGGGTCCGTGACCAACAGGCGTCTGTACCATTTCTTCTTGGATCTACGGTACCTGCTGCAATCCGAATACGTCCAGAATCGCGTGCGCGCGGAAGAACAATACCTGTCTCAATTCCTGGATCTTGTCAAGCTCTCGCAAGGCATATGCCCCAATGTGCGTGCTGTAGGGGAGCATGTTGAGTACGAGACCGACGCTTGGATCAGCGCGTCAGTCCTCATGCGAGAGATCAATCGGCTCTGTCGCCAATTCTGCGAGGCCTTCCGTAACCCCGAGATCGATGGAGGTGCAAAGCTGCTGCGAGCCATCCGATCAGCCACCATCTCTGCCGTGGCTCACTCATACGGATTGGAGCTCAAGCGTTTCAGCCAGGCCGAGATCAAGGATTACGTGTCTTTCAAAACTCTGCCTCCCTTTGATTTTGAGGTCAACCAGGAACATGTTCCACGATACCGGGTTGTAGACTTCGTCGTCGAACGTGGCTGGATGAGTTTCCATCATGCGCTTCATTACACGCTATCCTGGTTGCTGGAGTGCGGTCGTAATGTAAGCGGCGCTGTCATGCGCGATGTACTCATGGACGCTGCACAGGCGGCGAATGACCAATACATCCACGACTCACAGCTGAACTCCGAGGATCTGCTCCTGGCAATGTTCGATTATCCCCTCAGAGTTTGCGCCTGGCTGGCACAGATGAAGGCTGGCATGTGGGTTCGCAACGGTCTCAGCCTTCGGCATCAGATGTCACAGTACCGGGGAGTCTCATCCCGCGACTTTGCGTATTATCGCGACATCTTTCTGCTTCAGACTGCCATGGTCACCTGCGATCCTAGTCGGGTTCTTGCATCCATCGCGGAACGTTTCGGCATGGTGGACTGGGTGAACCGGGATTACAGCCCGCGGAGCGTCTACGAGGACAACCAGATCGTCGACGTGGCCGAGGAGTTCATCCACCTCTTGATTATCCTACTGACGGACCGTACCTCGATCACTGCCATTGACGACAGCGACAGTGCGACTCGGGAGAGCATCATTCGTGATATCGCGCATGTCCTTTGTTTCAGGCCGCTATCCTTCTCCGATCTGTCCACACGCCTCAGCGACAAGCCCCTTGACTCGGACATGTTCCAGGATGTGCTCGAGGAGGTTGCGAAATTCCGGGCACCAGAGGGGTTGAATGATACAGGTACCTTCGAGTTGAAGCCGGAGTATCTTGACCTTATTGATCCGTACAGCGCTCATTACACCAAGAATCAACGGGATGAAGCGGAGAACATTTACAGAAACTGGGTGGCCAAGAAAACTGGCAAAAAGGCGGATGACGTGGTGTTTGAGCCCAAACTACGTCCCATCACCACCGGAGCTTTCTCCGAGCTTCATCGCTTCACCCGGACAATGGTCTTCGCTCAGCTTGTGCACCATTGTCTGGATTATGTGGTGTCGTTCAAGGAGCGTACTCCGCATATTCAACCTACTCGGATTGAGACTTTCCTTCAGGTGGTCCTACATTTGATTCTCGCCGCCTCGCTGGATGACAAGAGCGATGAGGATGAAATGTCCGACGGCTCGCCGGCATCCTTCATTTCCCACGCTCTGAACAAGGTTCGACACTCGACGCAGGCTGGTCCAGTGACTATCGTGGGTCTCCTTGAGAAGATTTCCGTGGTGGACGATTTCAAATCATGCGGAGCCAAGATCCGGCATATTCTGAAGCAATTCTGGCAAAAGCGTCCCGAGGCCTATGCCGCAGCTACCGCTTCGCTGAAGTTCCCCTTTGACAGGGTTGACACCAGCACTCCTGCTATTGACAATGACATTGAGAAGGAGGCCAAGAAGAAGCAGGCTTTAGAAAGGCAGGCCCGGGTCATGGCCCAGTTCCAGCAGCAACAGCAGAACTTCCTCAACAGCCAAGGTGAATTTGACTGGGGCGAGGGAGACTTCAGTGATCTCGAGTCCGAACCCGAGACTGCGCCTGAGACTAAGCTGTGGAAGTATCCTAGTGGCACGTGCATCCTGTGTCAGGAGGAGACCAACGACTCGCGACTCTACGGCACGTTTGCCTTGATCCAGGATAGCACCATCCTGCGTTGTACTGATGTATCGGACGCGGATTGGGTGCGGGAGGCAATCCGGACACCGGCGAGCCTGGACAAGTCGGCCGATCATCTTCGCCCTTTCGGAGTTGCTGGGGAAAATCGCACGACCGTCCGCCGATTGGACTCGACGGGTGGCGAAGTCATCAGCGAGAAGGTTGGACTCAGCAAAGGCTTCAAGGCCCACAACACGAATCCGGGGCCGGTGACGACCGGCTGTGGCCATATCATGCATTACCACTGCTTCGAGGTCTACCTCACTGCTACTGGTCGTCGTCACCATCAACAAGTCGCTCGCGCCCACCCGGAGTCGCTGGCGCGCAAGGAGTTCGTCTGCCCTCTCTGCAAGGCGCTCGGAAACGCCTTCCTTCCCATTGTCTGGAAGGGTAAGGAAGAGTCGTACCCGGGAGCCTTGGGTACCGCTGTCTCGTTTGACGAGTTCATCAATGTGGAGCTCAAGTCGATTCTCTCGCAGCCCCGCAACTACGCATTGCTTGCGGAGAGCAACAGCAATCCACAGACTCTAGCGTACCAGGAACTCTTTGTGAAGTATTTGAGCAAGACGTTGGTCCCACCGCTCGCTTCGAAATTGGGCAACCCCCCATCCCCTCCCTCCTTCCCGTCGACTCTTTCCATGCCTACGGTCAGATTACCAATGCCTGGTCTCTTCCCTGCCGAGGAACCTTCTGCCACGAGCCCGCTCCAGGCGACCTTCAGTCCGATCGAGAATCCTCTTTCCGAATTGCTGCAGATCTACCAGAGGCTGAAGCAGACTTTGCGGGTCAATCACATCCCATCCACGTTCAACCATGTTCCTGGTACTCTGGAAAGCAGTGATCTGGTACATACCGACTCGCTGTTCCAGAGCTTTGGCTACAGCATTGCGGCGGTGGAGATAGCGCAGCGGGGTGTGGCATCGGAACCGGGCTCGACCCTGCTGGACAAGATCCCTCAGCTGACACTGACGCATCTCCGCATCCTCGCGGAGACGGCCTTCTCGTACGCGGCGGTCGGTTCACTACAGCATGGCGATAGCCCGCATAACCTCAGCGCGGACGAGGTGCACGAAACGCACCGGCAGAAGATATGTCAGTTATTCATTGGTCACCCCTACTTGAGTGGCACACCTCTATTGAGGGAGAGGCGCGAGATTGAACCGCTCTTGAGCAAGGATGCGTTTGTATTCTTGGCCGAGTGTTCGGTTTCGCTGCTGCCGACCGTTCCCATTGATATGCGCCATTTGATCCAGATGTGTTATGTGGCCGAAATCGTCAAGGTCGCCATCACCTACATTCTCTGGCCTTCGGGGCTGCAGGAAGAAGTGGTTCAGCATGGCGATGCCAACTACATGCCGGCGCTTGATGAGGCGGACTCCCGGGCCGACTTGAGTCGGCACTTCTTCAACTCCATCGTCACCGAGCTGAGGACCAACATCGGACAGGAGGAAATCACGTCGTTCCCGACCGAGGGTAACTACGTGGCGGACGGAAGCGCCGTGCCGCCGCAGGTGGTGATGACGCTACGCCGGCTCATTTCACGTTATGCCTTGACTTTCCTTCGCAAGGTGGTCATTCTTCTCCACGTCCAGCACGGGGTCGAGTTCCCCAACACGGGGTTGAACGATGTTGACGCCCCAGAGCTTGACCGCTTGACCAAGATCTTACATCTGCCGTCTCTGGACGAGATCTTTGGGTCTGTCAACGCTTCACGCAACCGCGGCAGTGTGTTCGACTCGGTCATCTCGGGCTGGATTCACCACTGGAATGTGTCGCGGCCCGGGCTGACGTTCGGCTACCACACGCTGTGGCCGAGCCTCCCCCACCCGGGCATTTTCGAGCTGGTCGGGCTGCCCAAGTATTATGATAGTCTGATCGACGAGGCCAACCGGCGGCGGTGCCCGAACTCGAAGAAGGAGCTGACCGATCCCTGCATCTGCCTGTTCTGTGGTGACATCTTCTGCTCGCAGGCCGTGTGTTGCATGGACAAGAGCCAGAACTTGGGCGGATGCAACCAACATGTTTACAAGTGAGTTTATCCTTACCTTCTCCCTTTTTCTCTTTTGCTTTCTAAACTAACGGTCAAGCAGATGTGGTAAATACATCGGCCTCTTCCTCAACATCCGCAAGTGTATGGTGATCTACCTACACAACCGCAGCGGATCCTGGCACAACGCGCCGTACCTGGACCGTCACGGCGAAGTGGACCCGGGCCTGCGGCGTAACCGTCAATTGATCCTGAATCAGAAACGCTACGATCGGTTGGTCCGCGACGTGTGGCTTTCGCATGGGATTCCGACGATGATCAGCCGGAAATTGGAAGCGGATATCAACAATGGGGGATGGGAGACGATGTAAAGAGATGAGTTGATGCAATCGATGTATTCAGGGGAGTGATGTATTTAGGAAAGCGACGGTGCGATGCGGATAAAGGGTGATTCATGTGACTTCAGGTGTTTTTCTTTTGAAAGCGTTGCGCTGATGGTGATGGACTAAGCTGGTGCCGTCCCGTATGCATGGAAGTTTTTCCCTGTGGATGTGTGGTGTTTTGTTGTTGCTTTTGGGGGAAAAGTTTGAGATGGTGGGTGCTGGTGGGAGATAAGACAAATAGCATTTTGCTGGGTATTTACCGGACTGGATCGTTGAGTCACCAGGTTTGATTGGATGTGGGGCGATGTGCATTGCTGGTGGTAAGTAAGGTAATTGAATAATACTCAGTATGAGGAAGTCGCATTGAAAGCGTGTTCTTTATCCATTTCCAGGCGACGGTCAGAAGGCGACCCTGGGAGCGAGATTCAGTTACCACTCCTCACCAGCCAAGACCAGTGCCCTACAATCCAATTCTCTTCTATTTTTTTCGGTCTGCAATAATGCAATGCAATGCAACAAAAAGTGATTGACATCTCCAATTTAGAATCCAATGCTGGAAATCATTGGACCACCCAATCTGGTAGCAAATTCCCCACAGCCCAAAGTCCAGACAGTATAGCATCCTTGGTTTCGGGGATGACTTTCGGGTGTAATACAGGTGATTGGTTGGTGGGGGTAAGTGGGGGAGGGGGGGAGGATGTTGAATCCCATGGATCGAGGCACAAACAATTACAACAATAAATAACTTGTTTCTGGGCAGGGGGTGCTGCTCTGCTTTCTTCTTTGCATTGTGTTTCAGGTTTGTATTGTTGTTGGATTGTTTGTTGGAGAGTGGGAATACAATTGCACAAACATTGTAACGGGCCAATGGTCTTTGTATGGACTTTTGTTTCAGATTCAGGTAGTTACTCTAGTGACAGGAACTGTATGAATAATGATCAGGATGGAACCCACTTCGTAAGTGCAACACAAAACATCAAACTGGTATCAAATGTGTAAAAGTGTAAAAGTGTAAAACGATATCATCATGATAACAAGACCGCTTCCTCGGCGGAAGGATGACCCCCCCGGAGGCAAATGGCAAAGGCAAAAGCAAAGGCAAATCCACCCCACCTCAAAAGCCAGTCAGCCAGAGGCGAGTCGAGGGCTTAAGCCATATACGCCTGGCCCGAGACACTCAACTTCTCCCCATCCAACAGATAGCCCTCGGCGCACATGAAATACGCATAGCGGCCAACGCCACTCTGGCCATCGAGCCAGGGGACGACCTCCTCGAGGAAGGAGGCGGCCTCCTGGGTGCCCTGGCCGGCATTGACGGCGCTGTTGAGGGCGAACTCGGTGACCCAGGTCTCCTCGAGGCCGTACTTCTCGGCCAGCGCCACCGCTTTGCCCACAAAGGTCTTGAAGTCGGCCGCCGAGTCGCCGTACCAGTGCACGGCGAGCACGCTCACGCCGCAGCTGCCGCTGCACCCGGACAGGAAATTCTCGGCCCACGAGAGGCCCGTGTCGGCGCCGACGCCGTTGGTGACGGCGGGCGTCACGAGCTTGGCCTTCCCCTTGAAGGGGGTGATGTAGTACTGGTAGTCGGAGACGGCCGCAGACGAGGACATGGCCGCCTGGCCGCTGTTGTCGGGCTCGTTAAACCCCAGGATGTACTTGCTGCCGCTGTTCAGGGCCGTCTCGATGGCCGTGAACCACGTCCCGAACATCTTGCTGCCCCACAGCATCGGCACGTACTCCACGTGCGACGGCAGGCTGCCGTCGCTGTACATGTTCCAGTCGTAGCCCCAGGTCACCGTGCCGCTGTTGGCGAGGGTGGTCACCGTGCTGGCGCTGTTGTAGGCGGCGCCGCGTTTGCCGGAGGTTGAGTTGATGCCGCTGCTCCGGTGCTCGAGGGTGACGTGCGGGTGGTTGACGCCGACGGTGTGGCGGTTGTGGTGGATGTGTGAGGGCATCGCCAGGACGGTGCTGGCCACGCTGCTGGCCACGAGGAGGGCTGTGGTGAAGGAGACCATTTTGCGTGGTATTTTCTGGTTGTAGACTGAGAAGACCGGTTCTCGAGTTCTTAGACAAGGAGTCGTGTAGCTACTTGGGACTCAAGTAGCGCTGGGGATAAGGAATGGATGAACAGAACCGTGCACGGCACAGGTAATGGTTCAGCAGGTGTCAAATGACAAAGGAATGACTGGGTACTGAGGAGTGATCAGTATACTGAAAAGAACCAACAAAAAAGAGAGAGAAGAAACGAGGGAAAGGGTGGAGGATATATACCCTGGTCAAGCAGAGGGGAAAACCAACAATTAGGGCTGGGCTGGGCTTCTTTGCGGACTTTCTTCCTTCTTCCTTCCTTCCATCAGGCGAAACGCCCAGGAACCGGACCCAGTCAAAGAACAATAACAAATAAAAAAAAAAAAGAAAAGCAAAAATGAACCAAAATGAACAACTGTCGGAGACTTCTCGAGGAACAAACTGTTTCATCTTGGCGATTTTCATCCTTTGGGGGTCTTTGATAGGTCTCTTCGAAGGGATCTGTCGGGTCTGGGTACCTGAACCACAACCAGTCCCTCTCTCCCCTGCATCCTTCACCGCGGCCAAACGGGGGGCCGATCCGTGGAACGTCATCGGGTGGAAGATTGGCCTGTGCAGTATCCATCTGACTGGCCGACCGGCCATCTTGCTGGTTTCTGCTTTTCTGGTTGGGGGAAGTGGGCGGTTCCTGCAGGCGAGCTGCAGTTGAGTTTTGTGCCCGGATTCTCTCGACCCGGTTGACAGCTGGAGCTGCTGACGGGATCTAGATAGTAGATACCCAACAACAACACTTCTGGTATGACTTTTGTTTTCTACAAGAACAATGGAATGCCTGCCTGTCAGTCAGCCTGTCAGTCAGTCACCAGCCCACAGCCCAGACCCGACAGCCCGACAGCCAAGTTGCGTGGATGGGGCCTGCAGTTGCGCTACTTGCACGCTAGTTGATTTAGTGAATTTAGTGGCGGAGCTCCCACGAACGCCTCTTTCTGTTGTTGTTGTTTTCTTTCTTTGCTGCTGTGCTGCTGTTGCTGCTGCTGCTGCTCCACTTTTCATCCGGCTTTCTTTCTGTCTGCGTCGGTGTGTGTCTGTGTGTCGGTCTGTGTGTTGGTCTTTATTTCCACAGGGCAGCCCTAGTCCCGTCCACCAGCGCGACCACACCCATTTCAAGACTTCGAATCTGATCCATCAGCACACCACCACCTCCGTGGTTATTCTTGTCTCTCACTTTTACAGCATACTCCTGAATGCATCCCAATCGCCCTGAAATATTCCTGAGCAAGGGTCTGAGATTAATCCAACAATAACTTGGCCAAGACACAGCTCCGCATGGGGGCCAGGGGAAGCTCTACTTCGTTGCCTGGAGCTGCCTCGCTCTCCGTGTCGGTCACAGTTAGTTGTGTACGGAGTCAATCCCTGGCGAAGCCTGGTTGCGTGGCTCGAATCAGGCCATATGGAGGAGATCGTGTGTATACGATAAAAAATCACTCTGTGTTGTAGATGGCTAAGCAGCATTGTGTACAGTGCAGTGACAGTGCAGTGACAGTGACAGGAGATGCAGTGGCATCCTGCAGCTTCAGGAATGGATTGGATCCGGCGGTGCCTGAAAATCAACTTCTTCTGTCTGCATCAATAATCATCAATGTGGCGAATGTATCCCGTCTCTCTTTCTCCGACGACTGTTTCCAGTCAATCGGAAAATGTAACCTTCCCTCTTTGTGGTTTGCGCTGCTTACCTGTATCCCCACCACCAACTTTTAATTATCCCTTTGATTGTTTTGCTAAATGCGCGGCAATCTACCCACCCATCCAGTACACCATAACACCCAGACCAGACAAGACCAGACAAGGAGAGTAGGTGTCGACTCGCACAGTCCAATTCCCAATTGATTCTTCCTTGACACTAAGACACCAAGACACTAAGAAGACTCCACCTACACGCGATAATCCTCAATCCATTCCCCTCTCTTGTGCCCCTCTCCACCCCACTCCACTAATCCACAATCATCTCTAGCATCAACACCCTCACAGTCAGTCAGTCAGTCCCAGTGGATCAAAGGGAAACCCTAGCAGTGCACACAGCCCACCAACTGGCAATTCAGCATATCCGTCCACGGCTAATCGGGGGTCCAGACCTCGACGTACTGAGGAGTTTTCTTTTTCTCTGTTTGGTGTTTCACATTCCCTCAGAGGGCGCCAATGGGATTGCAATCATTGAGGCACGGTAGACTGTAGGTCTAGTGTGGGTTTATGCTGTTTGGCTTCTTTCTGTGATGGGCTTTTTTTTTTTTTTTTTTTTCACCGACTTACTTGACGGACTCTGCGGTCTGTACTCATAGGTGTGGGTTCAAGAAAGGTTATGGGTGGTAGATGCTGAGGATCAGTCCAGGTGGGCGGTTCGGTCTACTAACTAACCACTCTACGCTGCTCTACCCTACCTATAAGGTAAGGTACTACATGTAAAGTCTACACAGAAACTGAACTGAACTGTCTGTCCCTATCGACTTCTTAGTATACGTAGAGACGGAGTACCATACACTACATCAAGATTATCCAGCCTATATGGAAATGAATGACAACCCCTCAGGAAACACTTAGCCAAGGAAGTACTCAGTAAGTACAGGACAGTATCCCACCTATCCACCCACCCACCAGGAAACCCCAAGTCAAGGTCCGCTACAGATCCACCGGCCTTCTTCCCTGTTCGTGTTCCCGGTAATCCCGCCATGAATATTCATATCATCCTCGCTAGGCCACGGAATACTCCGTACCCGTACGGTGGGAGAGGTAGGTGGGGTCAAATCTTCCGGGTTCGTCCCCCCATCCGATTCAATCGCCCTTGCACCACACATCCTTGTATGAGTAGACTCGTGTACTCAGTGTTCACGATGTATTGAGTAGGAATCTGCCCGATGATCCGTTGCTGTTGTCACCCTTGTACCGAGTTCATCACATCACGTCGGCTTCCTAGACGCAACGCAGGAAAAATCCCGCAGGAGAAGAGGGGTGGAGAGAGTGGGGGAGACGAGGTGTTCATCGGCGGGGTCGTATATACCGAGTAGAGATGGTGAAGCAAGACGAATTTTAGCCGATTGAATCAATGCCTCGATTCAGGTTCCCCTGGAGTGTCGAATGGGGAAGGCTGCTAGATGGATGGGAGGTAGGTTGGACCTCGATCTACTACGCAACTAACGTTACTGCATATATTGGACTGTGCTGTGCTGTGCTGTGTGCCTCGGTCTGGTTTGGAAGACGGCTGCGGAGAGGAGAGGAGAGGGTCTGAATCTGCATCGAGAGGCCGCCGGAGAATATACAGATGGAGACGGAGCAACATGTGCTTTGCATTCTTCTGAGAAAAGCAAGATTACCTCTGAGGTTTGATAGTTATTGCGAGTGTGCTGACTGTATTGGTTGAATATTCTGAGTCAAGTATTTGGTTAGTTGACCTAGACAATTTGACAATTTGACAATATGAGTAGGTCGTGTTACTATGTAAAGGGCTTGACGTATAGTATTAAAACTGACTGTCCTTCCGGGATGTGAATTCTTCCATCTTGGCCTCTGGTTAGGGTTCGAGTTCATCGATATGGTTGATCTTGTAAAAAAAAGTAAATGGATAGCTTGTGGGCTTCAACAAGGTCATACACACTAAACTTCTGAAAGTCCGCTCCTCATACATTGTTCTTACCGGAGCTCAGTAATCCAGAAAACTAGGGCTGGGTTTGCTCCATCTTTGCTTTCCCTCCGTCAAAGACAATGCATTGAGCGGGCCTGCTATCCTTCTTTCCAGGGCATGGGCTTTAGAAATAATAATACATGCAAGCAGACAATCCTCCATCCTCCGCTGGTAGGACTTTTGTCTTCCCTTATTTCTCACAGGAGATGTTGAGTAATTGTGGTTCGTCCCTCGTGTCTAGTATACAACCCACCCACCCAACCAACCAACCAACCAACCAACCAACCCTCAACCTTGAAACGCCATTCCATTGATCCCTTGATTTACACCGCTGTACAGTACACAAGATGCTGTTAATATGTTTGCTCTTATCATTCAGGCCCCACCCATTTCAGTATCTTCTGGCTCGGGCATGCTATGGTGTCCGTTGGTCTGGGCCAACCCAGACTCCGTCGTGGTCGTGGGCATCGGCGTTGCGTCCTCAGTGCCCGCCAGTTCGGCCGGCGTGTTGGGGTCAGAGATCGAACTCCCATAGCCGTTCAGCGTGGTGCCATTCGTCTGCGCGCCGTTGGTTGTCGAGCCATGCGCATGCGCATCGCCGGCGGTGCTCGCCTCCTCCCAGACGCGAACGGTCCCATCCAGCCCGCAACTGACCATCAACCGCGCCCCGCCGAGCGAGCACGTATCCACCCCCAGCACCACGCCCGTGTGGCCCTCAATGCGCTGCAGGACCTGCTTGCTCACCACGTCCCAGCACAGCACGGCACCGTCCTCGCTGCCGCTGACCGCAAAGGCATACACCGGCATCCCGGTGGCGGGCTCTCCGCCGTACGTGCCGAATCCGCCCTGCAGGCTGTACTTCCGGTTGCTGTGACCCTGGTAGGTCTTGATGCACCGGCCGGCCACGTAGTCCCACAGTCGCACGCAGTCGTCCAGCGTCCACGCCAACACGTACTTCCCGTTCGGGGAGAACTTGACCGCCGTGACGGGCGGGTTGTCCTCGTGCACCAGCGTGCGCAGACACTGGCCCGACGCCGTGTCCCAGATGCGGATCAGCCCGTCCGTCGCGCACGAGGCGATCAGCGTCCCGTCCCAGACTACGTCGATGCCGCCCACCGGATCCGAATGCGCCGGCAGCGACCGCATCACCTGCGCCGACCGCACGTCCCACAGGAAGACCGCCTCATCGTAGGAGCCGCTGACGAGCATGTTGCCTTTCGGGGAGAATGCGATCTGGTAGACGTAGTTGTGGTGACCAACGAACGGGATCGGGTGCGCCTTGCCCTAAAACACGTACAAAGGTTAGCCTCAATGACAGCCCATGCGCCGGGTCGTGGTGTCTTCCATACCGTCAGGACGTTCCACAGTCGGATCGTCTTGTCGTCCGATCCAGATGCGATAGTCGCCCCATCCGGGCTCCACGAGATCGTAGAGATACCCGCCAAATGGCCCTCGAACGAATGGATCAATTTCCCGGTCACCGTGTCCCACACTTTGACAGCCCCGTCCGCTCCTACATCACAAACGCCGTTAGCCTAACCTCCCCATAAAGTATCTCACGGAAAAGACAAATCTCACCTCCACTCGCGATCATCGACGCATCTGGCGAGAACCGCACGGCGGACACCCCCCGCAGATGACCGCGAAGTAGGAACTTCGCGCGATAATCCACCTTATCCGGTTTCGGCGGCGGCGGCGGCGGTTGGGAGACGGGCGTAAGCGACCGGTCGGGGTACGAATCTGGGGTTTCTTCCACGAGATCGCTATTCGTGGTGGGTTCCGGTTCGTCGACATCAAGGCCATCATCGGCGTTGACCATCTCCTCGTCTTCGTTGTCTCCGGGGTAGTTGTCGCGGGGGGGTTCGTCGTCCTCACGTGCATTCTCGTCATCGTTGTTGTCGTGATTGTTGCTGTCGTGAGGCTCTATTTCGTCGTCTTCAGGTGCATCTTCTTCTTCTTCGAGCGGAGGAGCATCGGCTTCTGCGGCGACGGAGGGGAGCACAGCGACATTGGTAGTTTGGTCCATTTCGTCCATCTGCATGTCCTCTCCTGCATCCACATCTTCTTTTTGGTCTTGTTCTTTTTCCTCCTGAACGTTGCCATCTGGATTGTCCAGATTCCGCTTCTCGACCTGAACCTCCACGGCCACCTCCACCTCCCCGTTTTCAATCTCAACATCATCCCCGTCCGGCGTAGCAGCATCAGCATCAGCACCCACGTCACCCTCACCTTCACCCTGGTCCTCACCCTCACCGTCACCCTCATCAATCTCCACATCCCCATCCCCAGCCACATCCACATCCTCCTCTTCCCCGTCTTCATCCTCCCCCTCCCCCTCCCTCTCCTCACCAACCTCATCCTCCCCATCCTCCTCCTCCCCCTCCACATCATCAACCTTAACCTCCCCGCGTAACCCAGACAAATCCCTCCTCCCCCTCCCCCCCCCCCCCCCCCCCCCCCCCCGGGTTGGAAACACAACCACCAACCCCCCCCCCCCCCGCGCCCCCCACCCCCCCCCCCTCCCCCCCCCCCCCCCCCCCCCCCCCCCCCCCCCCCCCCCCAAAAAAAATCAACCGCAACCGCCACAGCAGTCGCGCCCACTGACCTCCTCCCACTCCCACTCCCACTCTTACTCCCACTCCGAGTCCCCTTCCCCTGCCCAACCACTCCCCCTGCGACTCCAGCAACCCCCGCAACCCCAATCGACCCACGCTTCCGACTCGTCGACCGCCAATACTCCTCCGCGTCGATCGTCAACTCATCCGGACTCTCGGAGCCACTCAGACTGCGCCGCTCAGGCGGATGATAGGGCCGCTGCGGCGGATACACGTTTTTCTGTTTCTGGATGCTCCAGCTAGCACGGCGGCGGCGTTCCTCGGCCTCGTCGTGCTCGGAGCCCGCGGCCAGTTCGTCTGAGGAGTCGGAGTCATCGGCATCGTTGGCGGCGGCGGCGGCGGCGGAGCTTGGCCTTGCGGTTGCTGGTGGTGGTGCGAGTGGTACCGGGGATTGGATTCTGTGGGCGTAGCCGTTGTGTTTCGTGCTGGCGCTGAGTGGAGTATTCGTGTTCTTTTTATGCGAGAGTTGGTTGTGTTGCTGGTGGTGGTGGTGGTGGTGGGAGGGGGTTTGGTAGTGCTGGTGTTGATGCTGGTGCTGGTGTTTATCCGGCGTGTCCAGGCGACGGCGCTTGGGGCGGTGGGTGGGATTTGCGTCCATGGGTGATGACCCCTTGTAAACGTCAGGGGTAGAGGATGTATGCGATGGCAACTGGGTTGAGTGGGAATCTCAAGGGAAAGGGATTATGGTGGGAAGGGGGATGGCTATGGTTGTGGCTGTGGCTGGCTGGGTCATGAGTAGTGATGCTGATTGATGGTACGGTATCTTGGTTTTTTTGGTCAAAAGGGATAGTTGCCAGTAGAGTGGAGAATTTTCCAGAACGAAAATCAAGATGATTGAAGGAAATAAAATGAAGAAGAGAAAGAGGAACAAACGAGAAAAAACCACAAAGGGCAACAATGTTGTTTTCTGGGGAATCCTTTGCGCGATTCTCGGATTTCTTTCATTTGAATTTCGCCCATCCCTCGTGACGATCGCGCGGGTTTTGGGAAGGCGGTCGGTTGGAAGGCCGGTGGGTCGAGGCCGGGCGGTGAGAATAATGAAATCATTGCGGAGGCTATACGGAGTACTTGTTCGGTTGTTGTAATCTGGACAGACACTCCACGCTACACTCCATGTAACTCAGTGCATGCAAACCTATGATGACAAGTGCACTTCTTTGAAATATCCCATCCTCCACAATGTCCGACACGCCCCTCGAAAAGCAACCACAACAACAACAACTACCCTCCCCTCCCTCCACCGCAGCCACCGCAACCACCACCACCGCAACCACCCCCACCTCCATCCGCATCCTCACCCTCAACTGCTGGGGCCTCAAATACATCGCCAAACTGCGCCATGAGCGTCTCACTGAGATCGGTCGACGGCTGGCCCTCGCCACCCCACCGCCGGAGATCGTCGGGCTGCAAGAATGCTGGACGCAGGCGGACTACGAGAGTATCCGGCAGCAGACGCGACACATCCTGCCGTACGGCAAGTTCTACCACGGCGGGATCTGGGGCGCGGGGCTGGCGATCCTGTCCCGCTGGCCGATCGAGGAGAGCAGCATGGTGGGGTACCCGCTGAACGGGCGGCCGACGGCCTTCTTCCGCGGGGACTGGTACGTGGGGAAAGGAGTGGCGTGCGCGCGCGTGCGGTTCGGTTCATCCCAAAAAGATGTGGCCGAGGTGTTCTGCACGCACCTGCACGCGCCGTACGAGCGCGAGCCCAACGACTCGTACATCTGCCACCGCACCGCGCAGGCCTGGGAGATCGCCAAGCTGATGCGCGGCGCCGCCGAGCGCGGCCACCTCGTCATCGGCCTCGGCGACTTCAACATGCTGCCCGCCTCGTTCGCCCACCGCCTCATCCAGGCCCACGCCCCCGTCCGCGACGTCTGGCAGGTCCTGCATCCGGATTCCTCCCTGGGCGCCGCCATCGACCCCATCGAGCAGGCGCGCGGGAAGCCCGTGCCGTCGGCTGGGTATAATATCACAGAGAATGGGGCCACCTGCGATGGGCGGTTCAATACCTGGCGGTGGAGTAAGGAGGACCAGAAGCGGTTGCTGAAGAAGGGCGAGGAGATCGAGGTCGATCCCGAGGAACCCTGTCCGCGCGGCAAGCGGCTGGATTATATCTTTGTGGGAGATGGAAGTGGTGGTGGTGGTGGTGGTGGGGGGTTGCGGTCGCCGTCAGCGGCCCCGAAATGGTCCGTGAAGTCGGTCCAGTTGAGTATGATGGAGCGCCATCCTACGCTGCGATGCTCGCTGAGCGATCATTTCGCGGTGGAGGCGGTCATCACGCGGGAGGGGGAGGAGGAGCAGTCTGCGAAGCTAGAGGCCGAAGGGGGTAGTGCTGCTACGGCTGCTACGGCTGCTGATGGCTCGTCACTCGCTCCAAACACCACCCTAGAGCCAGAGACCTATGACCGCATCATCGAGATGATTCACAAGTATGTCCTGCGGGAACGCTCGCAGCGACGCTGGCGACTCGCACACTTTGTCGCCTCCGTGTTCGTGTCGATCGGCTGTATGGTGGGCGTTTGGTGGACGGGTGACCATCTGCCGTATGTGGCCTTTATCCTGCTGTTCGTGAGCACGTTGAACTTTGGAGCGGGAATCCTGGATGGATTGATTGGGGGGTTGTTCATGTCCAGCGAGCTGCGCGCGCTGAAGGAGTTTGAGTGGGAGGTTCGGAACGCGAAGCAGATCGTCGAGGCGGCGGCTGCTGGTGGGAAGTCAAAGAGGACGGAATGAGGTTGTATGACTGTCTGTATAATATGTGTGGTCTTTGTATATAATTTAATGTTTACTAGGCTGAGATCGATGAGCTGATCGAGTTCTTTGTATGCATGATATGCCTGCAATGAGTTTACTGAGGAATAATTCGTTTTCGAGATTGAGAAGAGGAATCAGATCAGGGTGAAAGCTGGAGTTGATTCTATGTCGATGTGCAAACCAACACCAAGCACAGTCTACTTGCTCTATTTACATGATATCCCCATGCCCCATACTATCCCTGCTCCCACCCCTCCCACCCTCACTCCCATCCTCATCTTCATCCTCATCCTCATCTTCATCCTCATCCTCATCCTCATCCTCATCCTCATTGTCGAGATCATCGCATCGTATCGCCTCGCATGGAACCTAAAAAATAAGGACACATCAATCAGCGACAAACGCCACTGAGTAAGACCCTCCGGATCCATAGCCCAAAGTGCAACCACAGCGGCTGTTTTACTTCGACGAGAAAACAAGCGGCATCCCCTTTGATCACACCAACCTTCCACGGGGCCGTCCTTTCGAAAGCCTACTACTCCCGCTGTGGATCGGCGTTCGCCCACGGAGACTTCACAACAGATGCAAGAGGGTGATGACTCCTCCTGGTCAAGTCCGGGGTTTTGTCCAGTTCAACCACTTGGGAAAGTGAGAAGAATACCATTTGCTCGGGCACCTTGCCGTCCCCAGGATTAAGGATCGAGATTTGAAATATGCCTCAATCGATTTCCAGCGTGTTTCCTGTCCTCCTTCCGGTGTTTTCATAAGATGCCCGGTGGTTTCGATAGCTCGTGCTGCACCGGAGGGGCCCCTCGGCAGTAGCAAAGCCCAGACCCGAACCGAGAAACAAACTGCGAGATTTGGGAAAGGAGGATGAAGGAATGTTTGGAAAGAGAAGCAGGGAAATCATACTTTTCCTGAAGCGCGACAGGCCACCGTCAGGGCCTCAGAAGAGGTTCGACAGAAAGGAAGGGGGATGGTGGGTGAAAAACGGAGTAGGAGTTAGGCTGTTCTGGGGTAGATTGTTTCGGTATCTTACCTTTCATTCTAGTTTGATGGTCTGAGAGTGTTGTCTTCTCAGAGGAAGGTATGTGTGTGTGTGTGTGTATGGTGGTGGTGTTGAAGAAGTGAGATGGAGAGGGGAGAAGGTGGGAGGAATGAGGACAAGAGATTTCTGCGCTGGGGCAATGGAACCAACGAGAAAGAAGAAGGCTGATCATGATGAGTTCATCATGATGACTTTTTTTAAATATACACTTGGACATACATTTCACTGAAGGAAAGTGGTCGAGCTGAGGGAAAATGAAGCGGAGGGATGAAGATGAGGATGAAGGAAGAAGAGAGAAGATGGAAAGAAGGAAGAGTCTAATGGGGAGAGAAGAAGGAGAAGAGGAAGAAGAAGAGGAAGGAGAAGAGAGAGAGAGAAGGAAGAATAGAAAGGAGAGATGGGTGATTATATAGCCAAAGATTTCCTGGAAGGGAAGGTGCCTGGATTTCATCACTTCCATTCACTGGTATCAATCATAACACAAAATCCGCTGATATTCACCAACCACCAGTTCCATCATACTTGATTTACTGTGACCCTGACTCACACAAATTCACTACCCCTGCTTCCGGCCTTCCATAACACGCAGTACATCCGACGCGCTGTTCTTGTCGCCCTTCTTCTTCTTGGGCCCTCGTTTCCTCTTCTTCCCACCCCGGCCCTCGCCCTCGAGCACCACTTCTTCGTCGTCCTCTTCATCGCCCACCCGACTGCCTCCAAAGCCCATGTCCATATCCATTGCATCCAACGCCTCTCGCCGTCGCGCCTCTTCCAGGAACTTCTTGCGCCGCAAGGCTGTTTCCGCGTCGACATCCTCCTCTCCCTCCCCAGCAGCCTCCTCGGATTGTCGCAAGGCCGCCGCCCGTTTGAGAGCTGCCAATAGCGTAGCATCCTTAGCCAGGGGATTCGATCGATCAATCTGGGGGACTTCTTCCGTTGTCGATATAGCGAAGTAGTTGCGTGGCCGGCCTGTGGTGTCCTCGACAGGTGTCTTCTCCATATCCGCAATAGCCTCCGCTGGAGCCGTGTCTGAAGTCACGGGCTTCTTCCGAGCGACCTCGCCGTCGTCACTTTCATCCGACGACGATGAATCGTCCTCGTCTGCTAAGTCTGCCAGCGGGTTGTAGTCCGCTCCCACTCCGGCAAAGATATCGTCGTCTTCCTCCTCCGCCAGGGCCGGCGCAGCCCTGGCCGCGAACTCAGCCGGAACCTCCATGCCCAGCGGTTTAGCAGCAGGAGCAGGCGCAGGCGCCTCACCCGGCTTATCCAGCCATCGCACCTTGCGCTTGACCTTGCCCTGCGCGTCCGTGATCTGGAGGATTTCTTTCCGGCGACCAGTCTCATCCTGCTCGATCCACCGCTTCTTCTCGACCTTCGACTCACTCCCGATCCTCTTGAACCGATCCCCCAGCGCGGGCTCAACCGACCGCTGCTCCTCGACCTCAGCTTCAGCCGCCGCAGCCGCAGCCGCAGCCGCAGCACGACTAGCCTTCAACTGCCTCAAAATCTCATCCCTAGACCTCGGCACCCCGGCCTCGATCTGCTCCAGTCTCGACGACAGAGGCGGCGGGGCCATGATCCCCTTCTTCTTGACCTTCTGTTCCTTGGGAGCAGAAGGCAACCCGTCGACCCCCGCTTCCTCCTCCCCAAGCACCTGATCCAACTCATCATCCACATCCCCAACCTTCTGGTCCCCCTCCCCCCCCCCCTCCCCCTTCCTCGTACCCGTAACCGAAACATCCTCCCCCTGCCTCACCCGCCTCAACAATTCCCAATCCAACCCCTTAACCATATGCGTACTCCCCAGATCCCCACCAACGCCCATCTCCCGAATCAACCCCTCAAACGTCCCCTGATCAATCTGCCCCAACTTCACCATCTCCTCCAACGCCTTCACGCGCTTCTCCAACTCCCCCTTCTCTCCAGCAGTAGTCGCAGTCGTATCCCCATCCCCATTCTTATCCCCTTCCCCAACCCCATCCTCCTCAGCACTCCGCAACAACGCCGCCCGATCCCGATACCCCTCCGGCAACTTCGTCCCCTTCGGCGCAGCCGACGACTTAAACCGTTTAGCCGGATGTGCACCGCCCAACTGATCCCGGCGGTGATCGGCGAGTTGGCGCGCGAAGTCGTTGTGCAGGGATGATTTCGTGGTGTTGAGAGCGCGGCTGTGTGTCCACCAAAGAAAGAGTAGTTAGCGCTGCCCGTCGATACAAGCCGGAAATCTTGGAGTAAAATCAAGGAATACGTACGGCGTCATAGGGATGCTCGAGCGTAGTCGCGAGCCCAGCGCTGCAGTTGCGGCCGAGGGCGTTGCACCCGGGTTACTTGTGGTGGTGGTGGTGCGCGCATTGTTGTTGCTGCTGGACGGAGTGTCGAGGACGAGGCGGCGGAATTGGTCGTTGTTCATGCTGGGCGGCAAATCTCGCGCGAAGTTGTGGTATGTCGGCTTGGTGTTGGTTCAGAGGTACTGCATTATATTTTGGTGGTTTTGCTTGTTTGTAGATCTCAGTGTGAGAGGGCGAAGAAAGTGGCTGAAACTCAGTTGATGCGGTGGGTAAATTGCCTGCGGCGGGTCGGGGATGCGCTCCTCGCCCGCCGGGCCTGTCGACGTCAGATTCTCCCGCGTCTTGGCGGTCGGCTGGGTGCGTTGTATAGCGATGCCTTAATGTTATGGATTACAGGAGAGGGTTTGAAGCACATTATTCTACCTCTATATCATCAGAGACATTGTAGAAAGTTGGTAATGAAAAGGCTATCAAGATTTACTGGAATGTTCTCTATATTTACAGATACACTACGGGATTTGAATTGTAGTCATTAACGAGAGTTCATATTTGGCCATCAATCGCATTCGTTTCAATTTGTGGACATTTCGAGAGAAAAGTCACCAGCAGCTTCATCAACATCTCGGAGATAGAGTGGCAGCTTGACGATACGATCGTCTTACTCGGCACACTCACGCTGACGCTCGTCAAAGACCTTGAGGGCCTCCTCGGCCGCCTTGACACCGCTGAGCACCATCGCACCAAAGGTCGGGCCCATGCGGTTGAAGCCGTCGATCTCCGACAGCTCCATGCCGCCGATGATCAGGCCCTTGGTGACCTCCCGGGTGTTCTTGACGATAGCATCCTCGGCGGAGTTCATGTCCAGACCCCGCATGCCGCCCAGCTTGTCAACGGTCGCCATCGAGACCAAGCGCTTGGCTGAGAAGGCGCCGAACGGGCCATCGTGTCCAGTGGTGCTGATCACGAGAGGCGCGTTGATGGTGTTGGGGTCCATGCAGGAGTGGTCATCGTGGTGCAGAGTCACCAGCGTCCAGTTGGTGACTACACCCGCGATGCGCGTCTCCTTGGGGTCTCCGTTGGGGGAGGGACGAGTCACCAAGTCCTCCACGCTGGTGGCATTGAAGAGCTTGACGTTGGGGAAGGAGAGGACCTTGGACAGCAAGGTCGAGGTGAACAAAGACGCATGTTTCACAACGACGTAGCTGGGGTTCGACGGGTCTTCCTCGTACGGCACGCCCAGTGCGTTCAAAAAGACCTCCGCGGGACGACGCATGACCATCGCAGAGAAGAGCTGGCCACCCAGCCAAGCACCACCACCTATAGTACGGTGTTAGTCAATGTTATAATGCTGCTGATTATTCAGATGTACGAACCAGGAGAAACATTGGCCTCAATAATGGCAATCTTCAAATCAGGGCGCGCGTTCGCCAGCACGTACGCGGTGCTCAGACCACAGGAGCCAGCGCCGACGATGACAATGTCACTCTCGGCGTACTTGTCCAGATCCTGGAAGTAGCGTCGGGTCATGGCGCGAGACACCTGACTCTCACGGATCGGTTCGAACTTGAAGTCATCCCACTTGCCGCCGAAGTGGTCGAGCAGCTTGGTCTGCGAGTCTCCTCCCATCATGGGAGCGATCTCGGGAACGATGACCTTTCCCTTGAGACCGGCGGTAGGGGCCACGGGGGACTCGAGCAAGGCAGCGGGGGGAGACATGATGTTCTTTGGGAGTTGTTGGATTTAAGTCACGGTAGTGACTGAGGATTGTTAGCTATTCCATCAATCAAGGGGGCACGAGGGAAGGCATGATCCTTTCGCTGGTATTATCCAGATCAAGTTTAACCGTATAATCTCAGAACGAACCCAGAGCCCCCAGCGTGAAGCACGCTGGCAGATAGGAACGAACACCGGTCCATGGCCAAAGTTACCTGAGGTACCTGATCAATGAGTTGCCCAGCTTCAAGGCATTGCATGACTTCCACCGTCAAGACCCGCGAGGGGCCCATGATAGGTGGTGTTTACATTGAACGGATTGAGTTCCTATAGATTGGTTAGTCGAAGCTCTTCCCAGAACTAGGGGAGAGTCAGTTGACGGGAAGGGATCACGACTTCTGAAGATAGTAGTAGTATCTGTCGAAGATGGATGAAGATGGGACGAGTGAGTATGTTGAGAGAAGAGGAGATGAAGAAAAGAAGCGGGGTTGAGAGGAGGGGCAGCTTAAATAGACAGTCGAGACGACGTAATGCCCTCCTCCTCGGCGATCATTTAACTTCCTGTCCCTTCCGATTCTGCCCGCACATGTTTACACCGGTAGACCGGTGAATTCAAGGAGTAAAGTATCTGACTGACAGGGTGAGTCAGTCAATCCGACGATCAAGAAGACTTCCAAGTGGACTAGCCAGCCTATGATATGCTCTACATTGTCATGGCAGGAGCACTGTAATCCGCGGGGATCAGAGTATAGTCACATGATCTCGGCCCTTTAGTTCTGGTCTCCCCAAGCCTGTGTGTATATTGGCCAGTACATACAATAATACTCATACATAGTATAATCAGACCTAGGCAAACCCCAACCCAGAACACCCCCTTTGAGCCCAAAAGCCTTTCCCACCTCCCTGAGTCAAAGCCTAGCTTGCGTAGATAGAAAATCACCAGGCTACCTAGTAAGGTAACCAAGGTTTTATACAAGGTTAAGTAAAGAGCTCAGATCGCATTTAACTACGAAGACCGCGGGGAGTCTGGAGTGAGGGGCGGCCCGCGTCCATCTCCAGGAAGCTTCGTTACATTCAATAAGTCGTAGCCTACACCTATCCGGTTGACGCGCGCTACTTCCTTATCTACTCTTGCCTAGTTCACGATGTCCTCGGCCATCCCAGACAGTAACTCATCCTCTTCGTCACGAGGCCACAGCCAAAGCAAGGCCACAGCCAAAGTCTCGTCCAACCGCGAGAAGCGCAAAGGCCCCCGTCTCGCCCACCCGCAAGTCCAGGACCGGATGTCAGCGATGTCGCGCCCGACGAGTAAAGGTAGGTGAAATCCATTCCAAGTTGTCACTGGCCACAAGATCTGTCCTGACTGATTTAGTGTGATAGTGTGATGAAACGCGACCTGTATGTCGCGACTGCCATCGTCATGGGATCCCCTGTGTTTATGACAGGCCCGCGGGAAGATCCAATCTGGCCCACTCGAGCCCAGTTCAGCGGATCCCAGTAATGAGGCACATACTATGGAGCTGCGCTTACTGCATCACTTTACTCTATTCGCCAGCACTACAATGCCAGGGGCCTGATTGAAGCGCATCAAAGACTGTTGGTCGATCGACGTGCCCCAACTCGCATTCGATTACAAACCGCTCCTGCACGCCATCTTCGCAATCTCTGCCCTGCATCTATCTAAAGCCAACCCAAACGATGCTGGGTTGCCGGACATCCACTGCCATTACCTTGAGCAGGCTTTGCGCGAACATCGACTTTGTATCGGCGGCATAGTACGCAGACCGCGGATGCGGTGTGCTTTACAAGCATCCTGTTACAGGTCGATGTATTTGCTACTTTACAAAATCGTCCTGTTGTTTCTTACGATCATGCAAGTGAATGGATGCGTCTAGTGCACGGGTCGGTAGCGGTCTTTGACGCGGCCTTGGAGATTGCGAGGCATAAAACCCATCCTGCGAGTATCTGGTGTATTATCGATACCTTTCCTGTCCCCTTGCGGACGAATGCTGATGCTGGGGCCTTTCCTTCCTGCTGCCGACTGCGTTCAACGACGGGGATGACGACACGGCGCTAGTAGCATATCGAGGGGCCGTTGCGCATTTCAACGCCACCTGGCTGGCCATGGAAGCAAAGGAACATCCGCAAATTAGCCGTCGCCGGCTCATGGCCTTCCCTCTGTTTGTAATAACCGAATTCATCGGCTTACTCGAGAAGAGGAGACCTCGCGCTTTGGTGGTTCTGGCCTACTTTCTCGCCTTGTCGGCACCAGTACGCGACATATGGTGGATCGAAGACGCTGCACACAAATACGTCGTGGCCCTTAACCAATCCTTCCTCCCCGTTGGGAGCGCCTAATGTCCTGGCCAGTGGACATGATTATATCTCGTACCACACAGTAAACACAAGTCGCTAATCAATCACCTCTGGGATTCCCGCCTGGAGCAGCGCCTTCTCGACCACAGGCATCCTAAGCGGCACCAGCTCTTTCGTCTGCTCAAACGTCTCTGACCAAAGCAACAAACTACACCTGGGTGATCTTCTCCAACCGCTACTGGTGCGGCGACCTCGAGTCTAATGTGACCGTGACCTGCGAGCACATCTTCTGTCTTTATGTGCTCTACCAACACATCGACCCCGACGAAGGCAGCCAATACCGCCAATGGCTGCTCTCGCAGCACACGCCGACGGCTCCTGGGGCATCGCGCAGCCCTACGAGAGGCTACGCGCGCCGTCGCTGTACACAGTGAATCCTGCTGCACCAAGCGAGATCCGGCGACTGGGCAGGCATCAATCCGCCCATGCACGCAGGTATCAACGCCCTTTTACTCGAGGGGTACAAGTTACACGAGGAACCTATCCAGCTTAGTCTAGCAGCCATCGAACGCTTCCACCGAAAAGACAACCATGGCAAGCGCCTCCAATGCTCTCTCTTCCCGGTCTGGGATACTGTACTCATGATTCGCACATTTTGTGAACCCTCGCATGAGGCCTCGCAGATGATTGGCTCTAATATACAAGGATTCTCGGTCTCGTTTAGTAGCGTCTGGTCCTGCATCTCGGCCCTGCATCTTAACTATATGCCCTATACCCGAGACTTGTTGCCTAGAATGCATATAGATATATTATCTGTTTTCCTTCTAATTACCTCAACTCAACATGCACTACACCAACATCGCACCTCTCCTACACCGAATGACTGAAGATGCCATCCGGACTCCTCATCGCGCAACTCGCCGTCTACACCCCACTGACACTTCCAACCCTCTACCTTCTCTTCTGCTACGGCCGCCACGGCCCCCTCGCCTGGTTCTACTACCTCGCCTTCTGCGTTCTTCGCGTAACCGGTGCCGCCATGGGCCTCCACGACCCGCATAACACCGGCGCCCAGATAATCTCCGGTATCGAGCTTTCGCAGCTACTGCTTTCGATAGACGGGGTGTTGCATGAGGCGTATGTTTGCCCTTCAAACTGACCCCACACACCAAGCCCTTATCTCCTGTCCTTTCATCAAGGAGCAAGAGCAAGTGCGATATCTCATATGTTCTAGGAGAATCTACTGGTTATCGCCCAGCAAACGAACCGAATGGACGTTCATGGCGCTCATCCATGTCCTCGTGGCGACGGGGGTGGCAATGGTCGGGGCTGATGCTGGCGGGCTTCGGGGCGATACACCGAAGCCCAGTGATCTCTCCAATATCAAGGTCGGTATGGTGCTGCTGGAGGCTGCGTGGGGCATGCTCGCTTTGTTGGGGCTGTGGACTCTTTGGAATGGAAGGGGTGCACCAGCAGGCTTGGCCAGGAGGGAGGGGTGGTTGGTACGTTCATCCCCTGCCTTTTTCCCGGACATGATCTCTTGTATGGTGCTCTATATGCGGCTTGGCGCCAGGCGTTATACGATCAACTCTCTCAGAGTCTATTGCTTAACCTGTGTATGTTATAGTTATGGGTTTGCAGGATGCGTGCGGAGGCTTGCCTGGGCTAGTTGAGCCCGTCTCACCAAAGGAGAGGGGAGGTTAGCGATGGATGAGACGCAGAGAAGGAATAAGGTAGAGTCACCTGTGACTCAGTAGTGCAGTCAGTACTCATAATCATACTTAGACGTCCAGAAGCGCATAGCACAAGCATAAAGTAGGTTATGCTCCCACTGAGTCATCCCCTCTTATGTAACGAAGCTAACCGAAACCGGGGTGGGGCAAAGTTGAACCGCCGCACAAACGCGTGACTCGGCCCTCCCGTCGACGAAAATTCCCCTCTCAGTCTCATCGCCCTCGCACTTCCCGCGCCCCCCCCCCGTACGACAAATCTCGACAGGATCCCTTTTTTTTCGTTGTTCTTGAAAATCATCACATAACGCCAAAATGGGTAAGGTAGGTTATCAGAACGATGCTCCTCGCAAACATTGTCAGGATGATAAGAAAGCAAATAAACTAACATCTGGATGAAAATAGGTTCACGGATCTGTAAGCACTCCCTCCTCTCTTTCGCCCCATCGACGACCCGATGCAAAACGCAACGACCATCGAAAAAAAAAAGTCGATAACCACAAAAAGAATGAAAGATCTCTGACCTTCCATCAAACAGCTCGCTCGTGCCGGTAAGGTCAAGGCCGCCACTCCCAAGGTCGACAAGCAGGAGAAGGCCAAGCAGCCCAAGGGCCGTGCCTACAAGCGTGTCGTCTACACCCGCCGCTTCGTCAACGTCACCCTCACCGGTGGCAAGCGCAAGGTATGAAATCACCACAAAATCAGCCGGAAATATGGGAAGAATGGGAGGGATGCAAGCAGCGATCTGAATGAAGATTCGATGGAAAAATGCTGTGTGATGATGAACGAACGGAAGGGCTTACACAACTCCCCCCCAAAAAAACAGATGAACGCCAACCCCACCGCTTAAACGGAACCCATCTTCCACGAAACAAAAAATTCCTCTTTCTTTGATCGATCGAATTTGAGATTCCGATGACCTTTTTGAAAGCAAAACGACGATTCCCCGGGTTTTCAAGGTGGCGTGAATGATGGAGCGAGGCTTGCGGATTTGGTGATGCGCTATTTGCGATCGGACGGCAACATTCCCCTCAAAAGGTGTTTGCCTTTTCGATCAAGAGGATTAAAACACGGTTCCTCCCCGACTTTTACGACGGATTTCGCCTTTACGGATTTCTTGACGTGGGGGAAAGCGAGTGAAAGACGGTGTTTTTTTTCTCTATGGTAGCAGGAAGGACGAAATTAATCGGACTTTTTGATCTGGCGATGCAATACCATCACTATTTTCAAGTCTCTCAGATGGCTGGTTTCTGTGTCTTGTTTTTTTTTGTTCATGCATAATCGATGGTTGCAATCTATGTGCTGCGATCGCTAGTAGATGGATGGGGTTTCATCCTGTTTCCTGCAGGAGTCCGGTGGCAAGTCAGGCTCGGTTTCGCTGGCTATGGTCAGGCGTCCTTGCTCGCTACGCAACCTGATACTCCATTTATTTATCAAAGGCTGGGGAGATTCGTCTATCAAACTGTGGGCGGTATGCCTGAGATGCACCTCAAGTCAACCTGTAGAGAGAGGTGGATCAGGGCACATATGGCTTCGCAGCAACGAGGCAGCTGACTGGCCGGTAAACCTTTCATCTGTAGAATTCCCAAACTACACGATGGTGGCCTTGACCTTCACCCCCCGATCCTTCACCCAATTCTTCTTCTTGCCCACCTTCTCCAGGTCGTCCGCCCTTCCCGTCAGTATCTCATGTAGCATGGACGGGGCAGCGTCCCCACGCTTCACGTTCAGGTGCAGCACGTCGCGCACCTCCTTCTTCTCGACCGAGCGCCACTCCGTCTCGAATCGCACCCTCCAACGCCCCTCCGACTCCCGGCCCGCAGGGTACACATCCCCGACCATGGCCGCCACGCGCCCCAGGTACCGACACCACCAGGCCTCCTCGCTCGACACGCACTGGACCAGCTGCCGATGGTACACCTCATCAATCGGGGCGAGGTCCCCGTCCCAGCGCTCGCAGAGCACCAGCGCGATCAGCGCCCGCTCGACATGCGACAGACAGTTGGTGGACGCCAGGATCCCCGTCGCCGTGCTATGCAGCGCCGCGGCGGCCCGCGACTCGCGGGGCACCGTCGCATGCGCAAACAACAAGTTCGCCAGCGCGGCCAGCAGATTCGTCGCGAGAAACGACCGCGGGATCTGGAACGAGGCCCGCGGCGACGGTGTGTCTGGCAGCGCCGCCCGCAAGAGCGCGCGCATTCCCTCCGCCGACGGCGGCGCATACGGCCGCGTCGCGGCGAGTAGGGGGTCCTGCGCGCGGACCTGCGGCGGGAGCCGGTCGTACAGGAACCCCTCGCGGACGCCGCCCTGGCAGAACTGGATGTGCGTGACGACGGTCTCCGGCAGCGCGGCCATGATGACGTTCACCAAGAAGGCGACGGCGGGGATCTGCGCGGCGCGGCGCCGCGAGACGCCGTAGACCTTGGTTGCGGCGGTGTCTCCGCCGGAAACTTCCTCCAGCACCGCCGCGGTGTCGTGGAACTCGGCCCGCGGGACCCGGAACCCGTTGATGATGGGGATCGGGTACGCCTCGCTCTTTTTTTGGGCGGAAGTCTTCATGAGCACGTACCCCCAGCCGCGGAACCCGCCGCCGCAGAGATACAGACTGAGTGGTGTCTGGCGCAGCAGGGATTCCGGCACCGCGAGCTCGCGATACGCCGTCTGGAACTGGCCGGTCATCTCCGCCTTGAGGTCCGTCAGAGCGTTTGTTGATTTAGTATCTGCCTCCTCCAGCAACCGGCCCAGCGCCGCGGCGCCGTAGGGAAAACTGAACGAGCCCTGCGGACTCGTCCGCACCTCCCCGCCCTCCTCCTCCTCCACCCAGGTGATTTGCGTACTGCCCCCGCCCAGATCCATCGCGATCCCCGCCACCGAGGCGGAACTGCTCGCGATCCCCAGGGCGCCGATCCGCCCTTCCTCCTCCTTGGAGAGCAGGCGCACCTCCCAGCCGGTGTGCGCGCGGATCGCGGCGCGGAACTCCGCCGAGTTCGGGGCCGTCCGCGTCGCCTCCGTGGCTAGCACGTGGATGTTGGTGCCCGGCACATTAAAGTCGGTGCAGGTCGACTGGAAGTGTCGCAGGTGGTCGACCACTTGGTCGATGATTACCTCCGGGATCGGGCCCCGCGTGCCCGTGGCTCGGGAGAATTGGGCATCGTACAGGGAAATTCCGGCGCGGGACTGGTAGACGATGGGCATGAGTCTTGCGGTTGGGGGGGAGAGGTCGGTGATTGAGAAGCGGATGCCATTGCTGTGGATTGGGTTGGCTTGGTGCTTTTGTTTGATCGAGTGGAGGGTTTTAAAGGATGTAGTTGATGAGGCTGTGTAGTGTAGGCAAACTCACCTTCCCATATCCACAATCCCGTAGAGATTGGGGTTCGTGGTTGATGGTTCGGTCATGATGGTATATCTGAGGCTCAGTAGGACCTGGGTTGGAATGATGTCAAGTGTAAGGGCAACACGGTAGGTGCTGCGATCGTCACGACCTTAATCGCATGGTTTGGGTGTGTGCGACTAGCTTGACTATGAGCCTGCTAGCTTAGGGTAAGAGTAGACTCTGTAGTCGGCTATGCTCTCAGCAGTAAGGCTTCAAAGGGTGGGATAAAGAATAGGCAACAGAAGCGAGGCGAGGCGAGATGCTGATGTTGTGTTGACGATTGGGTTGACGTAGCCGAGATATATTGCAGCTGAGGTGGAGACTTTTGCTGCTACCCCTCCAGGGCGGTGATCACCATAAACATGCTACAAGCAATTTCACCGACAATCTCGACGCCATGCAATGCCTTTCTAAATTAAAGCCAAGCATACTTCTATTCGTCAACGATCATGACTTCATTACCTCAACAGATAGCAAAACCACGCATGCTAGAGGAACCCCACAACCTACAACACATATCGGAAGCCCGCCCCGTAATTCTCCTCCCCCACAGCGGTTTCATCCTTAGCCCCAGCTGTCCATTCCGCCACTGCGCCATACCGCTTATCAAGACGGCGATTCTCCCAGGCCAGAAGCACTCGCAAAGACAGCGCAAGAATCGTGTTGAAAAACATGAACGCGGCGCAAATAGACAACCCGCGAGTGTAGCGAGGTGAATCGCTGGAGGGGAAGACATTGGTCCCCAAAAAGGGACCACACTGGCCGATGACGTTCAGAATGACAATGCCCATGCCTCGTCGGCTATCCGAGCCTTGGTTGTCTACAGGAGTCATGTTAGTGCATGGAATATCACTTGCGAGGGTCAGTTGGACGTACTCAGAGCCCAAGGAAGAATGTTGGCGATAGACGGGAACACCCCGATAGCGGCAAGGAACACGCCAAGGTAGCGAACTCCAACAGAATTGCAAGCCGCAAGTAATACATAGCCAACGGCACCGACTAGGGAGGCACAAGCAATCACTAGGCCCCGCTGCTGAATCCGATCAGCAACCCACGTCGTAGCGATCGTGACGAGGAAGGACGCAAAGAATGGTGGTGCCGTCAGGCCCTGAGCGTTGATTGAAGTAAAACCCATATCTTCGAGGATCGTTGGCAAGAAGACGGGCAGCGATGAGAAGCTCACGTTGCAGCTGAAGTACATAAACTGAAACTGTTGTCAGCATAAACCTCAGGCAAAGGCGGCTAATCTGGGACATACTGCCAAGATCCACGCCTTCGCATCCAGCAAAGTATGGCCCAATTCTTTCCAGTCGATCCCAGTAACTCGCTCGCTCTCACCACTCCGTCGAAGTGATCTGGCTCGGGTAACCTCTTTCTCTTCTTCGGTCAGGAAACGTGCGGACGACGGGTGATCTGGCAGGTAAAACCAAGCCAGAACGGCAGCCAAGAGTGACGGGCTCCCTTCCACCAGGAACAACAGTCGCCAATTCGCTATCTTAGCATGGCCGGAAGTGATACCATAAGCGAGAGCGCCCGCAAAGGTGTTTGCCAGAGGGGCTGCCGACAGAAACATGCCACATCGAAGTCCTAACTCATGGCGCCGATAGAAGAATGACAGCAGGTACGGACTTCCAGGGCCAAAGGCAGCTTCCGACATGCCCAACAAAAATCGCAGGGCCATCAACCCTCCCCAATTCTGCACTGCCGCCTGACAAGTTGCCACAATACCCCTATACAACATAAGACTATGACTCAACACATGGAAGGTATAAGTCAAGTCTGAACATACCAACTCAAGACGGTGATAGCTGCCCATCTGTGCGGAGGCATGATCTTCCACATCAATGCCAGGAACTCAAACAGAGTATATGAGATGTAGAAGATCGTCAAGAGCCATGAGTATCGATTTCCCGTAAGGTTGAGATCCTCTTCCATTCCCGCAATTTTCGCATTCCTGTTTGCTCGTTAGACCAAGGAGAACTATTGAACATTGTGCGATCAAGCCTACCCAATGTTGCTCCTGTCGAGCAGCGATAAGAGATCTGTGCGAGAGCCTTCAGGTCAGACAAGAACTCAAGTGTATGATTTCGAAGAGGATGATGTGCGATCGTGCAGGAGATGAATTAGGCAAGACGCAGCATACAAAGAAATCCTAATAAGGTCGGAACCCTGAGGTCCAACTTTCTCAGCACTCGAGCTTCCAATGCAGGATCTATCGACATTGCAGTTTGAGGCATCTGCGGGAGTGCGGTATGGGTTTCTTCCTTGTGCATGGGCTGCTGCTTCTCCGCATCGTGACTCGGAGCCTCGACGAT